AAGTATCATGAGTTAGAGACGTACTGAACCCAATAGACATTCATCTGTTGAGTGGGGGGCACTCCAGCAGCCACCCAGGAGGCTGCCAAATGGAACTGCACTGCCTCACAGCCCCGCCGTCCCACCTATTTGCCTCAGCTGGCGTACTGGGGGGAGCTGAGCCAGGCCCTTTCCCCCACCCCCTACCCAGGCCCCTTGACAGCAGCAGCATGCAGCTGCTGGCTCTGCTTTGCCATGGCCAGAGCTGGGGGGGGGGAAGGGGGGTTGGAGTGGGGGAAGTGAGCCCCCCTCACCCTAATCCCCTACCCATCCCCTTCCCTCTCCTGCTGCATAGGGTGGAGACTCTCTCCTCTCTGTGACAGCTCTGGGGGCAGGGCTGGGCAGCAAAGGCACATGGGATGTAGGCAGAATCATCCATGCTTAACCCTCACGGAGAACCTGAACAGAAGTTCCCTAAGGGGTTCTGCTCTAGAGTGCCACCAGTTGATTTAAAGAGAGTTATGTTTTTGCATGATTAGCCTTTTTTAAATTGCTAGGCAGCCATGAACATGTTATATCATGGCTGTACAGCACTTTCAGGGGCCTCATCTCTCAAAAAAAAAAATGTAACTTGTGTAAGCACCCTAGGAAGTTTATCTATTTTCAGTAAACTGATAAACGTTAGTCCTTTCTTCATGTATATCCACATCCACTTTTCTTTCTCTGAGTTGCAGTGGAGCCCTTCTGAAGACAAAGTAAGGATTTTGTACCAGAGAGCCCGCTAGAAAATTAGGATTTGAGAGTGATATATAGCCCTCTTAAGAATTTGTCTGGCAATTGCTTTGATTTTTTTAAGAATACTATCTTCTGTTCCCCTAATACATGGGTGCTCAACTTTCACCCCAAGGGCCAGATCCAGCCCAGGGCACCATGTCATCTGGCCTGTGGGGTTACCCATAGTTCTAGAAATTTGGAGGCTGCCAAATCTCCAAACCCATGATAAACCCCAAGCCCTGTGCATGGGATCCAGCACCCAATTACACTGTGCAAGACTGGACAGGGGCTGTGCCAGACCCTAGGTTCCGATCTTAGTGTGGAGGGCTGGGAGGGAGTGTAGCTGGGTCCTGGCACGTGAAAGGTGGGAAGTGGCAGCACTGGACTTCTGAGACCAAATTCTTTCAAGCAAAGGTTGGGAGGGAGGGGTACTGGGTCCCTGGGACCCAATCCCAGTTTGTGGGGGCAGGAAGGGGCAGTGCTGGGCTCCTGGGACCCAGTCCCAGCACCCGGAGCAGGGTGTGGCTGGTACGAGGCCTCAGGACCTAATCTGCCCTGCAGACCAGCCCCATACTACTCATCTGGCCCATGGAACCAAAAGGTTGAGCACCACTGCTCTAATACATTGTAGTAAACCAAAATAATTTGTTAAGACTTGAAAATGCTTTGGCCAAGAATGTTGCCATCTATTGATTATAGCACTATAGCATTGTTTGCTTTCTTTTATCTGAATGAAAGACTAAGAAATAATGAGATAATTGCAAGAATTATTAAATAAGTTTTTGTTTTTTCATTTTAATGAAGCAGTTTCCCCCACATGTAGTCCAAGAGTTTCACCTGTATCATCTCGGAACAACTCACTCACTCTTCCAGTCCCAGCAGGTAAAATCCTATGTATATTTTTCTTACAAAGCCAAAATACATTTCCTTCCATTGAGAAGTAGGTAGTATTCATAAATTAAAAACATAGTCTTCTTGATAATACCAAAGCTCAAGAATGGCCACATTAAATTAAGAAAAGTTTATTCTATTTTATAGTCTTTCATTTTATGTCTGTAACATATTGTCTTTACCAATTGTGGAGCTTTGGTGTAATATTTAATGCCCTTTCTCTGACTGTGTTTGGAGATGAATGGGCAAATGGACTTTCCATTTTCTCCCTAAACTACAATTATATGGATTTTAATGCTTAAATAGCAAATTTTCAGTGTTGTGCTTTTGGTACTGTTTCCCAAATTTTCATGTAAAATACGATAGTTAGCCATTACAATAATACAGTTTTCAAACAAAACATAAACAATCAGATGTCATCATATATTTTGATTATTCTAGGCCCTGATATATGTACAGCTGCTGGTGTTGGATCAGTGTCTCCACTGCAGGTATGAGTGAACTGTACATGCTAGAAAAATGCACTGCTTTCATTTTTTTGGGAAAGTTATAGCCTTTATGAATCTAAAGAATTGTGACTAAAGGCTAGATTATACATGGTATAATGATGTTTTGAAACATGAAGTAATAGAGAGGTACTGGAAGAACCAGTCAAAATCAAAAGGGCAGAGGAATTATCCTGGCAGTTTTCAATACATGAGTCTAATTAATTTCTACCTCAATTTATATGAAATTAAAATAATAAATAATAAGTATTAAGGCTGCTGACAGATTGGGGGGGTGCACTTTACATTCATCTCAGCGTTCCCCCACACCAAGTACAGCACATACCCGGAAGAGGAACTGCATCAATTTGACCTGGTTTGCCCAACATCTGTATAGATCACATGTTTCAGTGGGGCTTTTTCACTTTTATCTAATAGCTGATTGAATCAGGTCACTGGAAGCCGGGTCAAACTGACACAGTTCCCCTTCCAGTAAAGCGCTGGGTTTGTTTGTTTTTTCCACATCTGTCAGCAGCCTTTGAGATTACGTTAAGATTACTCCATTTAAGCATTGCAATAAAAATGAGAGATTAAAATATCATCTCAGAATATCTCCAGGATAGCAGAGCTAAATGCAGTATTCATTGTGTGTATATGTAGATGTGTGTGTGTGTGTATATATAAAGCAAATGTGATTTTTTTTTCTTCTTTTTTCTTTTTATTAGAATAACAAAATTATAAAAGAGGATGAAGGGCAATCTGCAGAAGTAAGCACTTAATACAGTATCTCATGAAAATCTTCCTCTTGAATTTAAACTAAGATAAAAATGTTATTGTGTGGCTTTGAAATCAGGTAAACCATTTTAAACAAAATGAAATGATAAATAGTACTGAACTGAAGATACTACAAAGGACCATCTGAAGTACTGGAGGGAAAATGGTTGCATCCAGCCTACAGATCCAGTCTTGCAAAAATTTGTAGTCCAGTACATCTTTCCTCACATAAGTAGTCTCACTGATTTTAGCATTTAGCACCATATTGTAATGTGATACAGTTACACACATACGAGTTAAGGGGAAGTAAGACTTCTGAACACATCTCTGCCTGTGCACAGTCTCACTGGTATTCCCTACATCTTCACTGGACCACTGTGGAGACAGAAAGGGACATATGCCTTGAGCTCTCTTTTCCCTCTGTTCTCCCTCTTACCCCAGGCATAAAGGTAGGGAGAAGGCAGAACTTTGACTTGAACCAACCTCCCCAACACATGAGCCAGCAAAGCTGGTAGTTGCCCAAGGGGTAGGGAAGTAAAAGGGTTGGAAGAAATCTATTTCCTTTGGGAGCAGGAGAAGAATACAGAAGATAATGTAGTTTAACTGAGACATCAGAGCATGGAAAAAGGTCAAGTATAAGTCTTGATGATCAGAAAGATGAAATAAACATTGGCAATGGATTTTGCAAAGGAAATTTCCTAATGAGAAGTTGCAAATAGAGCAGAGAGAAATAATAGGTACCTGGGAAAATGAGAAATATCAGGGGGAGGAGCTATCATGTATGCTTAATTAAGGAGGGAAATGTAGGTTTATGCATTGGGAATTGGGGTAATAATAGAAACCATACACTTGACAAAAGGAAGACTCATGGAAAGTAATGATTTCCATGAAAGGTATTGAAGTAAATGTGGGAAACCTTAGATCAAACTCAATGAAATTTTTGCCTAAGTTTCATTCCTGCTTCAGGTACAGATGAGGTGTTCAGTTTTCATTGACCATCAGTAAGCCTCAAGGCTAGGGACAGACATTATACATAAACCAGTTTAAGCAATCAGAAACTGATTTAAACCTGTAATAAAGCATAAATTCAGTGCACATAAACCAGTTTAAAAATGGCTCAAACTGGTTTAAGATAAACATGGTTGAATGTAGTATCAGACTGAACTGATTTGGTCAAACCAGTTTATGCAGTGTCTGAGCCAGACCCCTTCCTGGTTTAAGTTAAACCAGAGTGCCCCAGCATCCCAGATGCTTTGCAGCCCTGGGCTGGGCTGGGCTGGGCTGGGCTGTCTGTGGAGCAGAGCAAGGTTGGCCCCGCCCCTTTCCATTCTAGCCAGAGCACTATCACTGCTCTGGCTGGCTGAGGCTTCCACCTGCCCCTCCCCCCCTCCACTGGCTGCTTAAGCAGGGATTCCCCCTCCCGCTCCCCTCCCATGGCAGGGACCCCAGGACAGGGACCAGGCATTTGGCTATGCCCCCTCCCCTCCTCCATGCTAGCTACTTCTGAGAGGTGTCTGTGTGGGTCTCCAAGTTCACTGGAACAAAGGGTAGACAGCTAGTGGCTTGCAAATGCAAATGAACCCTGCAGATAAGAAGAGCTTGAAACTAATGAGAGAGATGTTTGCTTTTGTAGGGCTTGATGGGCTGATGAACTTGGTTCTTACGTTATCATTCACATTAGTTTAACCTACAAAAATTGAATCAATTCAGGCTCAGGCTTTTTGAATGTGTCTGCCCGTAGCCGAAATGCACATGTCTTTCTTGTGCCTTTGGAAAACTTCCTCTCTGCTTGCAGGTCATTTAGAAACAAATAATAGTGATAGTAGAAATGGTCCTTTACTTTGAGAGTCCAACTTTATTTAACTTAGTGCATTTGTTTCCCTATGCTTTTATATGTATTCTTTTCTTTCAGAATGCTGCAAAAGGATTAAGTGATCAAAAACAGAATGATCAAAGAAAGGTTTCTCAGGGAAGGTTGGTTTCTCGTTCCACTGGTTTTGAAAACTCCAAAGAGAAACTCTCTGAACAAAAAGAAAATTTTGATCCACTTAAGCGTATGGATAATTTACCCAAACCCTCCCCTTCAAGTAGTGATGCTGGCAAAACACTTACCACTTGTGCAGGTGCTTGTGAAAATGTACGTGGAAAACCATTCCTTAAGAAATCAAAAGAAAATGACTTTCCTTTAAGAACACATGTCCAAGGACCGGGAATAGTTGCTATGGATCCAAAGTCAAAAAGTTCTGTGCCAGAACTGGTGGACCCTAAAATTACTTGTAAACCAGAACCTAAAGTGTGTGTAATGTCCCCTCCTCTGCTACGAGCTGTATCGTGGGATAGTACAGAACCAGGACATAAAGAAAAAGCACTTTTTAAATTACCGTCTGAAGAAGATAAAACTTTTGCCATTGGTAATAAATCCAGCAATCAGTTAACTAAAGCAACAGCATTCAAAGACCTCCAAATACAGGTTCAGCCCATTCGAATGCAGAAACTGACGAAGCTCAGAGAGGTGAGTCTTAAGATATAACTCCAGTCTAGGATTTTGTAATGTTCTAGCATTGTACATAATGTGAATTGCTGTTCATGTGCATCAGAAAATAACATCATCGGTTCTTAATTCTAGTCTACTATGTTGTAGCAGACTACATTGTAGTAACTCTAGTCTTGTAGTAGACTAAGCAAAAAATAATTTTGTTCCTCTCAAAGATGGAATTGAGAATATTGGATAGAAAAGCATATGAAAACAATCTTATGTGTTCATCTGAAAACAATCTTTTGTGTTGTTCATGCATTGAACCATATGAAAACAATCTTATTTGTTCATTTTTTAATATTTGTCATACCAGAATATCAGACTCTACTAGATTTGATATTGGCTTGAGGACTAGTGTTGTTCATCTAATTGTTCATTTGCTAGAACTGTTTTAGTAAGTGTTGGACTCCTGACACTCTGAGATGCAGGCACTTGATTTGAGCAAAAGACATTGCAAGTGACACTCACATTGTTATTAATAGAACATGCCTGCTTAACATTTCAGCCATTTTAAAAACAGAGACCTGAACCAAAGACCTCTGATGTTAGTATAAAATGTATTTACTTCTGTGTTGTTGAATTAACCTATTTGTTAGATTTGACTATTATTAAGCTGATTAGCAATATTTCTAAATAGTTCTACTAGAAAAGTAACATTATCATATGGTATGTAACTATTATTTGTGCCAGGAAATGAATCTACTAAAAGCAACAGTTTATTGCTTTTAGGTTTAGTGTATTTACAGTCAACTTTTCTTATTTTATCTTTCACATTTTTATAATTACAGGAAAGCTTGTTCTAAAATTACAGGAAAAAACAGAAAATTTAACTTAATTTAAAATAACATTTTATTTTGCTTTTGTGTTTTTAATGAACACCATGTGCATTGATTAGAGATTGAGATTTCCATAGAAAAAGTCCATAGTTTTTAGTTCCAAACAAACCATGATCTCTCCACAAGACATATATTGCTGTTATATACTCATTTTTTGTCTCTAAGAAACAATTTAATGGGAAAATATATATAATGTCAATGCAGAAGAAATATTAATTGTTTTCTTTACTAGAAAGGTGAACATAAAACATAGTGGCACTTCAGTTTCAGATTTTATACATGACACGTAAACAGGAAGAAGCTGATTAACTGTCTTGTCATTTCTGAGCAATACTTGGGAGTAAAATGATCTGTTTTAAACTCTAAGCAGATTTTTTAGATCCAAAAAGCTTTCCTTCCTGAGGATGTATCAACTAACATTATCTTTAAAAAACTGCTTTAAAGTGTTACTTATACTCTTATGTTTCCTTTTCTTCCCTCTCCTGTGCTTTCCTGCTTTTCCAGAACTTCTCTCACAACATGGCACATATTGATCACTGGCATACATAGAAGTTGTTGAGTGCAGACTGAGAACTATGTATGGCCCTGGAACAGATCCAGGCAGGGGTGCAATGGTCAAGTCGTACCCCTTTTCTACTGTTTAGCACATGTGCCAGGGGCTCCAATTTCCTTGTAGGTCTGGATGTCTGAGTCCCCTACAGAGTCCTTGCAGGAAATGAGCACAGATCATAGGGGGTGCTGTTTGGGGGGGAGGCCCAGCTGGAGCCCCTGAGCTGGCAGGGAACACCTGGAGGGACCAGGCAGGGAGCAGGAAGGAAGGATCTACCTGCTGTCATCACCGCTGACCATGGTTGACCTAGTGGCAGAGGGAACCCCAGGGCTGCTTCTGCCTCACTCCAGCCAGTCAGCAGGGGACAGCATGGCTGAAGACAACAGCAATAGCAGCCCCCCCCTTTCTGCACTCAGAGGCATAATTTGCAGTGTTGGCTTCCTGGACATTGGGAGTGGGTAGGTTTGCAGCCAACACCTAAGGGGCCAGTTGCATCTGCTGCATATCCTTTTCAAAATCCTAGATCTACCCATGTATGGACCCAGAAACAGGTCTAGAATTTCACAAATGGGTGTGCAGTTGCAGGGACTAGTGTTGTAGGGGTGGCTTCAGCCCCACTCCAGGCCTTCTTCCCCTGCTCCCCACAGTGGGAAAGTAACTCCGTTTCTCACCTGAATTTTCAAATTCCTTGGTGTGTTAGAGCAAGAGTCTCCCAGGCAAAAGGCATTCAAAGGATAATGCCAGACTTACAGGGCCAAGTTCTTCCATGATGCAATGTTGCTGACCTCACTAGAATTAAACAAAGGATGAATTTGGCCTCTTAAGTCTAAAAGTAAATCTGGTTGTTACCTCAGTATTTCTCTATAAGTTAGGTCTTGACTTTCTGATTTTTATATGTTCTTTTTCAAAATAATAGAATCACAGAATCATAGAAAATGAGGGTTGGAAGGAAACTCAGAAGGTCATCTAGTCCAACCCCCTGTGCAAAGCAGGGCCATCCCCAACTAGATCATCCCAGGCAAAGCTTTGTCTAGCCGGGTTTTGAAAACCTCCAAGGATGGAGCTTCCACCACCTCTCTGGGTACCCTGTTCCAGTGTTTCACTACCTTTCCAGTGAGAAGTTCTTCCTAATATCTAACATAAACTTCCCTTGCTACAACTTGAGACCATTGCTCCTTGTTCTGTCATCTGCCACCACTGAGAGCAGTCCTGCTCCATCCTCTTTCAAACCCCACTTCAGCTAGTTGAAGGCTACTATCAAATACCCACTCAGTCTTCTCTTCTGTAGAATAAATAAGCCCGGTTCCCTCAGTCTTTCCTCATAAGTCATGTGCCCCAACCCCTTCACCATTTTTGTTGCCCTCCGCTGGATTCTCCAATTTATCCACATTGTTTTTGTAGTGGGAGGCCCAAAACTGAACACAGTACTCCAGATGCAGTCTCACCAATGCTGAATAGAGGGGAATAATCACTTCACTTGATCTGCTGGCAACACACCTGCCAATGCAACCCAGTATGCTGTTAGCCTGCTTGGCAACAAGGACACACTGCTGACTCATATTCAGCTTATTGTCCATTGTCACCCCCAGGTCCTTTTCTGCAGAGCTGCTGCTCAGCCAGTCAGCCCCCAGCCTGTACTGGTGGATGGGATTATTCCATCCTAAGTGCAGGACTTTGCACTTCTCCTTGTTGGACCTTGTGAAATTCCTTTTGGCCCAATCCTTCAATTTGTTTAGGTCACCCTGAATCCTTGCACTACCCTCCAGCGTACCTGCTACTCCCCCCAGCTTGATGCCATCTGCAGACTTGCTGAGGGTGCACTTTTACCCATCTTCAAGATCATTGATGAAGACATTGAACAAAACTGGCCCTAGGACTGACCCCTGGGGCACTCCACTTGATACTGGCTGCCCATTAGACATCAAGCCATTGATTACTACTCTCTGAACCCAATGCTCCAGCCAGTTTTCTATCCATCTTACAGTCCATTCATCCAAACTATACTTCCTTAGCTTGGCTGCAGGAGTGTTGTGGGAGACTGTATCAAAAGCCTCACTAAAATCAAGGTACACTACAGCCACTTGTTTCCCCCCATCCACAGTCAGTCACCTTGTCATAGAAGGCAGTCGGTTGGTCAGGCATGACTTGTCCTTGGTGAATCCATGCTCACTGTTCCCAGTCACCCTTTTCTTCTCCAAGTGCTTAGAAATTGATTCCTTGAGGATCTGCTCCATGATTTTTCCTGGTACTGAGGTGAGGCTGAGCAGTCTATAGTGCCCTAGATCCGCCTTCTTCCCTTTCCTAAATATGGGCACTCTTTGCCCTTTTCCAGTCATCTGGGAGTTCTCCTGATCACCATGAGTTTTCAAAGATGATGGTCAGTGGCTCTGCAATCACAGCAGCCAACTCCCTCAGCGCCCTCGGGTTTATCCCATCCGGCCCTATGACTTGTACACATCCAGCTTTTCTAAGTAGTCCCTAACCTGTTCTTTCACCACTGAGGGCTACTTTCCTCCTCCCCAAACTGTGCTGCCTGGTGCAGTAGTCTGGGAGCTGACCTTGCCTGTTAAGACTGAGGCAAAAAAGGCATTGAGCACTTCAGCCTTTTCTGGATCCTCTGTCACAAGGCTGTCTTCCCCATTCAGTAGGGACCCACACTTTCCCTGATTCTCCTCTTGCTACTGACATACTTGTAGAAACCCTTCTTGTTACCCTTCACATCCCTTGCTAGATGCAACTCCAATGGCTTTGGCCTTCCCGACTTCATCCCTGCATGCCTGAGCAATACTCTTATACTTCTCCCTAGTTGTTTGTCCATGTTTCTACTTTTTATAAGCTTTGTTTTTGTGATTTAGTTTACTGAAGAGTTCCCTACTAAGCCAAGCTGGTCTCCTGCCATACTTGCTAGTCTTCCTGCACGTCAGGATGGTTTGTTCCTGCACTCTCAGTAAAGCTTCTTTAAAGTAGAGCCAGCTATCCTGGGCCCCTCTCCCCTTCAGACTGACTTCCCAGAGGATCCTGCCTATCAGTTCCCTGAGGGAGTTGAAGTCTGCTTTTCTGAAGTCCAGGGTCCTTACTCTGCTGCTCTCCTTTCTTCCTCTCCTTGGGCTTCTGAACGCTATCATCTCGTGGTCAGGTGGAAATGATTGCTCAGGTGGGATGAAATGTAATAGTTAGGCACCCACAAATTGGTATACATAAATTGTACCAAGGTCCCTAACACTATAGAGGAGATGAATGAAACGCGTGACTTCTAATAGCAATAACCTAGTCAGATCTTGTTACAGATCCTCAGCAGTTAATATGCAAGATGAACACAGTGTTAATATAAAAGAGACTCGCAAATTTTAAAGGAGACTATTTCACTCTATAGTATTATTTAGAACTGACAAGATAGTTACTCAATTTTTTCCTGTTTACATACTTTAAGATATAAAAATATGTGCTGGAAATCCAGTTTCCTTAAAAAGGCACTTGAATCCTCTGATGGTGAATGCCATACTGATGACAAATCCTAAATAACATTAAATTTAAAAGAAATAGATATAGTAGCTGGAACTATAAATCAACATATGAAATATTATTCAGGTTACAGGAGATTAATTTTAGTTTTAACAGAGATCTCTCTCTCTCGCAAAAAAAAGTGTTTATGAATTTTAAATGCACTTGGGAAAAGAATGTTATCAACTCTTTTTTATATACAAAGTTTAATCCCTTTTTTTTTTGCTTTACAAGTTTCCAACTTGGGAGGTATAGTGGCACCAATGTGTGCAGTAACAGTGAGAAGCATTGGCTTACAATAGTAGCATCGTTTCTGGAGTAACTGACTGGACACTGTGATAGAAACTTAGTTGAATATGCTTTTCTGAGTTTTCTGTCCTTTACTACTGAGGCACTACATTCCTCTTGATTTAACAAAATCTAGATTTTTTTTCTTTGTTTTCTCCATTTGCAGAGAGAATTGAACCTCATTGGTTGTTATTAATAAACACATTTTGCAAATCTTAAATTGCATTGAGCTGCCACAGTGGGTGACCATGAATTTACATTGAAGACTACTTAATCTGGGTATCTGATAATTAAAATGAATTTAATATTTGAGTGATGTTGTAGCTGTGACTGTCCAGGAATTATGCAAGAAGCAAGGATTTTTTGGGTGATATCTCTTATTGAACCAACTGCATTGTTGGGATAAAGTTAGATGAGCTTTCAAATGCACGACTGCCTTGCATTCAAAAGCTTGCCTAACTTTTTCCCAACCATGCAGCTCGTTCAGTAAAAGATACAATCTCAAAATATCCTTCCTTTTGATACCATTTTATACTTGAATTTCAAAGTCATTTAATTTAATGTGGCTACAAATAATATTAACATGTACAGATGTGTATTCCATAAATATAGTTTTCAAAATTAGTTTCCACTGTTCTGTGATATTTAACTTGAGCCTTTTTATTATGTTATATAGAAACACTTACATTTTTCTCAACAGGAACATATTCTGTTGCGAAATCAAAACTTAGTTGGACTTAAACTGCCTGACCTTAGTGAAGCAGCTGAACAGGAAAGAGGTGCAGTATCATGAATGCTTTTTAAAATTCTTCTAATATGAAAGAAACTGTCCTGTAGGTACTCTTCTATAAGAACAGTTATGTTTCTCTGAAGCATCAATATGTTCCCCTAAATGGGGGCTTGCTACTGAGCAGGTTCATTTCATAGTGGGGTCCTGCAGGGATCAGTTCTTGACTATCTGCTATTTAACATTTTTCCCCATGGTCTGGAAGAAAATATAATATCATCAAAAACATTTAGAGGAGTTACAAATAATAACTGATAAGACGCAATCTGAAGTCTTTCTAAATTGGACCAGAAAAGTACTATGGGTTTCAGTGAGGCCAAATATAAAGTCCACACATCTATAAACAGGGCATGTAGGCTGTACAAATAGGGGAAGCATGTTGGATAATTATGAATGTGAGCTCGCAGTGTGAGGCTGGGCTGATCTGGCTCTTGGATAAACAGGATATAAAATTGAAGCGGGGCGTTTGTTACCAACATATTTGGTACTTGGTACTATGGCAACTATGACTGGAATACTGTCCCCAGTACTAATGTCTACAATTCAAAAAGGGTGTTAACAAAAATTCACAAAAGAGCCAGGAGAAATAAAGCTGTGCAAAATCAGCTGGATAATGAAAGATTCACAAGCTTAGTCTATTTATAACAATATCAAATGCCTAGAAATGAAGTTAGATGAATTAAGACTATGGACAACAAGACCTGTTGATACTGAGGGAAATTAACCTTTGAAACAGTTTACCAAGGGTTGTGGTAAACTCGGCAACAATGGAAATTCTTAAATATACATTGAATGTTTTTCTAAAAGATACTCCGTAGTTCAAACAGGAATTCTGGGAAGTCTGCTTAGGCTGGAAATTGAACTAAATGACCACAGGGTTATTACCTGGCCTTATAATTTGTATGAGAGTAAAAATGAGAGAAGCTTAATTCATGCTCACTTGGAGTTTGATACAAAACTTCTGAAATAATTCTACTGACTTCATCATTTCATACATCTTAAGGCTTGAACAGATCAACTAGTATGTTCTCTTACGTAACACAGACCACAGAATTTCACCCAATAATTCTCCATCAAGTACATAGAGCTTATCTTTTAAAAATTATAGAGTTCAAATGACAGGAAATCTACCTCATCTCTAAATTAAGTTGTTCCAGAAATGAATTATCCAAATCCTTAAACTAGATGTAGCTTCCCAAGAATCTCAACTGGAAGCAGATTTTCCAGACTGACTCATTCTCTGAGCACTATCCAATTTTTCAACATCTCTTTTGAAGGGAAAGCCCATAGGATGATATCTTATCCTCATAGAAGTCATTAGCAAAGTTCCTATTAGCATTAGTAGAGCTAGTATTCCATCTTAAAAGAGGCCTTGGAGGCTTGAGACATAGGTGAACCAGTATACTCATGTTACCTTTCTGTATCATGATGTTTGAGGTGATTGTATGGTGAGAAGCTTTTTAAACAAACAGGTAATTTGCTCTTGCCTCAAGAAGGGTGATAAAGCATATGAACTCCATGGGGCTCCTTGATATATACAAGGATGAAAAAACAAATATTAGTAATAGCACAATGAAGGATAAGACTGGTGGTTTCAATGACGGATTTTTAAGGTTGGTCACTCACTAAATCCGTATCTAAATTCTTTACAGTTTGTTTTTCAGTTTTCATTGAGTTGAAAGGGAGTTGTTGGGTGCTCAGAACCTGTGGAAATCAGACAATTTTTATTTAGGAACTTGAAATACAGGTATAAATAACTAATATTGGGCATCCAGGTTAGTGAATATTAACCTAAATATTTGTAGTTCATGTTAATATATAACTACTAATAGAAGAACAAATCTAATTAAAAAAACCATGGGAAGGCAGCTTAGCTGCAGGAAGTTTCTGGGGGAAAAAAATCCATGGAGAACTTTCTGCCCACATTATTCTGCCCAGGGAACTATGTGGCTTACTCTTCTCCCCAAACCTAGCAGATCTCCTGTGATCTGTTAGAGGTTGGATCCAGGTGAGCAGAGATTCCATTTATCCACCACTGTCCTGCTTATAGTGTCTTGGGGTATGATTTCTTTGGAGCTATCCTGTCATGGACTTCCCACGGCGGCTGCTGCTCTGGAATCTCCATTTTGGGCCATGCTCCGCAGAAAAGATGCATCTTCAGCCTCCATTATTATTATTTATTTATTTATTATTTATTTATTTATTTATTTCCAGCATTCTTGGGTGGAGACTGATGCATCTCATCCCTAATCAGCACAGTCCCCACATCTCCCCCTGACATGGATTAAGCCTAATGACTTCCTAAAAAGGCAGAGCAAGAAGATTCAGTAAAGCAGGGGAGAACTGTCCTCTGTTCCTTTACCCTCAGTTCAGTTACACAGGAAAACAGTTGAGATATTCTTTTAAGAACTGATATGAACTACAGAATCATGGGAAATTGCATCATAGTACCTGCAACCTGAATAAAACTGCAGTCAAAGGCACAACTTTTTCTCCCATCCTACTCTGCAATTATTTTAAGGGGATCTTGCATGTGGTAGCATTAGTGGGCCTAGTTTTTTTGGCCTGACTTAGTATATTATATATTCCTTATTTTCAAGCAAACCCACATTTGTAGCCTGATTATGATTATTGTCTTTAAAATCTTACATGTGGCTTTGGGAGGAACACATTTTTAAATTCTAAGAACTATTTTGCATAAGACTATGGTAAATGTTCAGCTAACATATAAAGAGTCAGTCACATTTACAGACTGACTCCTTGACCTCACTGGGAAAAGCAGCAAGGACTAGAATTCTTTGTTAAGGAGCCTCTCATTTCCTTGCATTGTAATGAATGCATCTAATGTTTTTTCATGGGGGTAATATTTTACCTAAGCCATATAGCAATAACCAAGCTGCTGACAGTTTCCCATGCTATGAATCATGCAAGCTGTGTCTATCATGTTATATTATCAGTGCCAAGTTGTCTCTATCATCTTGGGTTATATAGTAAACACTGTTTTGCAACCACATATATGTTAAATAAATAAGTGGACCCAGTAGATTGAAGACACTGTGTTGCTGGGCTGGCTCATAGTCTGAGGGGAAGTACACAATAGTGCTGAGGTATGCCCTGGACTTTTTAAATGTTAAAGAGATGCAGAAAACAAGAAGTAAATATTTAATCTGCTACATAATGGAAAGACAATCTACTTCCATTAAGCTTCTTTTACTTGGAGGATTACTATTAACATATTTTTTTTTAAAAGAAACAGAGCTTTTTCTAACATATTTTCCAAGCCCAAGGTGTCTGTTAAAGAAGAAGATTCTACCCAGCAAAAGTGAACATGAGTCCTCAGGTTTTTACTGCTGGATTTTCCAGAACGTCGGTGTATTGTAGAAACAAGGCTAACCTTGCAGTTATTACCATCGAAATAGTCACAAATCAGTGTTAGAATCATGATGTGTTTGCTGAACAAGAAGGAAGACTTTGGTAGACCTTGGTGAGGGAGGCAGCAAGGGATTCTTGGTATTAGGAAATCATGTGACCACTATTTCAGCACAATAATATATTGAAATTCACTTAAAGCCATGTCTTGGTCCTAGTGAAGAAACTGAAAATATATGGCTACAATTCAGTGTCACTCTTCCAAGCTGCACTGAATGAACTTGGAGTTCAAAAGAGGTGGCTATAATATATCCATCAGGCTTTTGGGGGAAAGGAAGAGTGAAGCTATAGGTTATGGTGACTTTGTTTATGTCAGCAGCCTGGAACAAAACATTTGATAAATGACAGTAAAGTTGACCCCCATTGGAACAAGATACAAAACATAACTGCAAAAATTCCAAACTGATATTACTGTTAAAACTAGAAGGTAAAATATTGGGTTCAGTGTACAGTAGTCTACCTATTCTTGTTCAATTTTTGCATTTCTAGAGTACTTATTGGAAAAGAATCACTGTTCCATGTGCGTTCAGAGGTTCTGTGACCTACCAAAATATTCGTTATTTCATTCCTTTCACTCGACAGATTAATCTTTGGAATCATTATTTTTTCATATATGAGTATAATAAATATAATAATTACGAGATTGATGATAAATAAGTATATGGGACAAAGGAAGTGCCCATTTTCAAGATGCAGAAACTAAAAGCAGGATTTTCAGAAGTGCTCAGTATAAGCCCAGGGCTTATTTAAGACAGTGGTAAAACGTCCACTGTCTTAAATAAGAGCAGAGTTAGGTCAATATTGAACAGTTCTGAAAATTCCATTCCATTTGCCCAGGGTGGCTGATTTCCTAATTATCATATGACTTTTGAAAGCAACTTAATGGTAAAAAGTTTATTTTTTTTGTGGAATTCCCCTTAGGCTCTTCACCTGTACCTTCCCCAACTGAGGAAGATGCAAAGAATAGCTCTGATGTCATGCCTAGCATTCCTGATATCCTGCTGCGAAAACTCCGTGTGCATAAATCTCTTCCAGGAAGGTAAAATCTACTACAGTCATGCTCAATCTTTGTAGACTCAAGGCACCCCTCATTGGACTCATGGTACCCCTTGAAAAATGCCAGCTCTTAGCTCTCACTCATTTTTACTATGAAAAAATAGACCAATTCTTTTATTAGAAGGAATTCAGAAAGACCATAACAGGTCAGAAAGGTTTTTGACACTATAGATTCCTATTTGAAATCCCTGGGTGCAACCAGACAAGCATGTATGTGCTTTTGAGGCACTGCTAAATGCTCACAATGCATGTCAAAATGTTCTCCACACAGCATATTTGCAGGGTGGAGCCAAAATTAGATACCAGGACTGCATGATCTGTACATGTATCTGGTACCAGGATATCAGATACACCAGTATCTTAAAAAAATGGTGTAAAAAAAAAAAAGCAGGGTGGTGCATGTGGTTGCAGAATGTACCATCCAAAATCACAGCCTTGCTGGTAAGAGCCATGCTCCAGTTGCTGGCCAGGCTCCATGTGCCCAAGTCACCACCATTGCAGTTCCAGGATGCTCCCAATAACGCTGTTGAAGCTAGCCCAGGTGCTGGCCCTGGCCTTCCCTACCTCACACAGGGCAATTTTCCATGCACCAGAGCACGCATGCAGAGGCTTTCCCTGGGGACAAGTAGCTGCTATTTGTCCCCAGGGAAACACATGTATGCACTCATCTGGATGCGCCCTTTGAATTTATCTTGTGGATCACGTGTAGGTGTTTGCACAGCTAAGAGTGCTAAAATTATGTGGCATCTTTAAAAGCAACTCATGGTACCCCAGAGTGCCATGGTACCCTGGCTGAGAAGCACTGCCTTAATAGGTGAATCAGGACAGCATCCGCTGAAAATACGCTAATTGCTTCCATCAAACTACCTTTGAACAATTCTGCACATGTATGAGATCTGTACCCAGAGTTTTCTGTATTACTATTGTTGGAAAGAGGATCTGCAGCTGTATCTTATTTATAGTGTAGTATTTTTAAAAAGTATAGCTCTCTAATTTTCAGACACAAACACAGAGAACACCTTTTTAAAGAATAATTTCAAATGTATAAATCCATGAATGTCTTATAAACATGATTTGAAACCTACAGATATGTTCCTTATGCAGATTGTACACAGATCTGTTAGCTCTCATGGTTTTTTTCCCCCCCCCACCTGAAGCAACAGACATAAACAAGTACTAGAAATGTTAATTTTTTGAAAGAAGTAATATTGTCAGATCAGATTGTTCTTGCCCTGGTAAAATCTGGGCAAGGAAAATTCTGCAGAGATCCCCTATGCAACTTTTCCCTTTCCTCTTGATAATTGCTCCAGGCACTGGAGTTTGCCAGTGTGCAGATTGTCTGCAAGGCCTGTCCACAAAATCCACATGTTTCAAGGAGTATGCGAGTGTCCAGAGTTCTTGACACAGAGATCCTGTACCTCTGCCACACAGGTCTGGAGTAGCTCCTTTTGTCTTCCCACTTCAGGTCATGGCTGCCCCACTCTTCCTTCTAAAGGAGAAGGAGCGTGTCTACCACATACAGTGCTCTAGGAAAAAAACTAATTATAGAAACTTAGGGCTGAAAGAGGCCTCAGAAAACCATGTAGTCCATCCACCTGTTCTAAGGCAGAACCAAGGATACTGAGACCACCCCTGGGAGAGATTTGTCTATAGTTTTTCTTAAAATCAATTTTTGTTAATTTCTTGAGCTCTGTGCCACCCAATCTTGACGTGCTTTTTTTATATGCTGTGATTTTAACAGCGGGGTTTTTGTTTAGTTTTAAAAAAAAAATCCATAACCTGAAACTATCTCACTAAAATTGTGTGTCCTAAACAGTACGTACACTCAGTGAAGCAAACACTCTTGTGAAATGTTCATTCACTACATGGCTTCCTCAATAGGCAACAGCTGTACAGGAATGCATGTTTTGTGCTACTGTACTCTTTAGACACTGAACAAATAATGATATCTAGTGAATTAACTAACCGAATCTCAAAGTTTTTTACATACATTGTATATAAATCGAGTAAGAATCATCTCTCTTATACAGAGAGGTAGGCAGAGGCATAGTGCAGGGCAGTGGCAGAACGGCCAAAGAACACCACAACTCGCTGGGCGGGCAGGTGGGCCACACACACACTCCAGCTGGCGTCCCTCCACCCCCCCTCCCAACCTCCCTGTCATTACACCACTGGTGCAGGGCAGACTTATCCAAAATCACACCATGAACCAGCAGCATCAAGCCAGTTGTCCTAACTGTTCTAAAATCATTACAAACACTCTCCATCCCAGTTAGACTACTCAAAGAACCAGTTTCATCCTGGTTCATGTGGGGGTGCACCAAGGATGAATTTGACCTAACAGAAGTTTTTGCATAAACTACAGTGATTTTTAGCAACAGTACAACTGTACCATAAGACATCTTTATACCATACATGTAATTGCTGTGTAATTATGTGTAACAATCCATGTTATATGTGTATATATGTTTGTATGTACAGTTTGTGTGTGCATGTGGTACTGATCATGAAACATGCACTGTGTACAAGCTTCATATAAGTGAATCTTTTATTTAGCAAGTGATGCAGTTGCAGCTGCAAGAGACTCTTATTTATATTCAGTTAGATAATAAAGACAAAAGCAATTTCGTACCTTAAAACAAAATAACTGACTTTGCATATCTGGTAACTACTTAGCAAGGGGAACTTCACTTTTCATAAAAACAGTCTTCTACCAGAAAGTACATCCAGGCCATTGAATGAATGCAGAAATGACCTTTGCACCCTTATTGTAAGTGTGTTGGAGTCTCCCAGCCCAAATGAAGGAAGTGCTATTTCCTGGTCATTTTATCATTATTCACTTTGTTTTGTTGTACTGTCCTATAACACTGGCAGATGCTTACACGGTACTCACCTTATTTTGGAAAAAAAAAGAGAAGTCAGCTCTACACCAATACAGGAAATGAAAAAGCCTTTACTTTGAATACAAAAGTCGAGTGACAGAACAATAAATGAACATTATTAAAATATAACCTGGCGCATATCAAACACTGAACTTGCCAAGCAGCAGACATCTGCTCAGAATAACAATTAGTAATAAGACTACTCTAGCAAGAACTGTTTCTTTCCCATATGATAGGACATATTGATCTCTTCTACTCTACATACGAATGCTACCCCACCCTTTCCAAAAATACTGGACGTTCTAAACTGTCCTGTCTGGGATTAACATTTCACTGAAAAAGAGAATAATAATTCAACCTGCTGGGCAGTGTGTTTTACCCATAAAATGCACAACAGGCAGGCCAATCACTTCTTTCATCCTTAGCTATGATGCAAGTAAAAGTAGTACTGGTACTCCTTTCAGACATTGTCTGTTTTGCTCACTTACATAAGGGTTGTGGGTCCTATTTACCAGTGACATCTTCCTGAACGTACATTTTAGGGGATGGACCAAAACCAGAACCTCCAAACTAAAATCCAAAGGAATGAGGGTAGGAAGAGGACTTCAAATTTTGACATTCTTCAGATCGGGAAATGCTACTATGCTTTTGGTTCCAGGTCAGATCTAAAACCAGCATGGGTTCATTTTCTTGTTCAGCTACAAGTGAAATTCATAAGAATAGTCAATGATCACAGTACAGTTTCTTTGCTACTGCCAGTGCAGTAACAATAAGACCTGGAATACTTTATGTGCATCAGTCTCTATATTAATTTGATTTGCTTATCTATATAGACTTTCATACTATCCTCATCATGTCATCTGAGTCCTATATAGGCACTAAAGACTGGTACTGATCCCGACACATTCAGCTATTACCAATCTCAAAAGCTTCTCCCTTGCTTTTTCCTTCCATATTCATGGTTCCACAATATGCCACCACTACACATTTTTGAGTCATATGTAACACTATACAGAATTTTAAAGCAATCTTAGTTTAATTTTAACAAAAAACATCATTTTGAAAAATGTACTAAATGCTATGTTTTTGTTACAGCCCCCCTGCACTTACTGAAAAAGAAGTTGAGGTAAGTCTGTTGCTAAACTCACAGATTTTTAAAGCCACAAAAGATACCTTTATAATTATCTGTTCTGGCCTCTTGCATAACATGATGTAACTTTTGGCTGAACAAGAAATTATAGAAAACAGTCTGTCCTGATTTTAAAATTTCAAGCAACAAAGAATTAATCACATCCTTTGGTAAATTGCTTCAATGATTGATTGACATTACAGTTAAAAGCCTGTGCCTTCTTTCAAATTTGAATTTGTCATGAAAACTTCATAGCTGTCCGTAATTCAGGTTGTGTTCTTAATTCTACTTTCCATTTTGTATATAAAATTATTTTTTTATCATGGTAGTACAATGTTTTGTATGCTATGTTGTATTGCATCCTTTTTAACATATAGTTGCTTTATTGAACTAGGAGGATCTCTGGTCTGTTACAGAATCATTTACCAGTTGTATATGTACTAAGTTGGAGCATGGTGCTGACCTCATCACCTCCTTATGGTGCTGAGGTTAAAGAAACAGTGGAGCCCTGCCTCCGCTGCTCCCATGGACCTCAGTGGCCTGAAAACTGGGCACATTTTGGGCTGCAAACATGAATACCCCCAAACATAAGATGGATACATTTGGATAACACAAGCCTAAATTTTAGACTGCTTATTATAATGGGGGAAATATTTTGCCTGAAACCTTTTTTTTTAAAGAAGAAAAAGGTAGTTTTAGATCAACTATAGCATTTAATTAATTTGTATTAATCTTAGCAATTGTTCTGGTCAAAAAACAACCTTAAAAATGCTCTGAAAAAAATGGTTGGTATTTGTAAATTAAGTTATTTCAATATGAGTCTTTTAATGCAATGTTTCATTTTAAATTTATTTTTGTTTTTATTTAAAATTAGTAAAACTCTCAAACTCAATCATGATTGATTGATTGATTTGGGGTTAAATTAAATGTTTTGTTTCCAGTCCAAGTTTTTTTTTCATTAGCCTTTCACACCCCAAAAATTGAAAAATTTCATTTCATGTCAACTAGAAATAATTTTCTGGAACTGCTGATAAAGTGAAAATAATTTATTTACACAGCTCTACTACTAGTGGCTTATTATAACTAATCAAGTAGAGATGGAGTTGCTACTTAATACTTCTCAGTATCAGCCCTAGCCTATCTAAAATTTAGGGATCAGAAATTGAGAGTAATTTTTAAAAATGTGAATTAAATCATTTAAACATGTCACAAATATTAATACATCAAATGAAAAATAATATTCAAACACTGGTTCAACAGAATAAAGTGTAACAGTAAATCATTTTTAGTGACTGCTATTGCTAGTAAAATATTTCCAGTAAATGATGAGTTCATTTCTGGATTTCCTTTGCACACTGTCTGTTAAAAGACCTTGGGGACACTTGGGGAAAGTCCAGTGATATGGTATAGACCTATTGTGACTCCAGTACTTTCGGCTGGCTTTCTTCATTGTGTATGTCAAGCTATGTCATGAAGTTTCAAAAAATTCTCAAGAAATGAAAAAAGCCACCACATTTATTACAACTATTCTAAACGAACAAGTGAAAAGATAACCTTTGCAGGTGATACTCATTTTAAGGTATTTTCAACTTGATACTACAGTCCTTACTTGGGTACAAGTACCTACTAAGGTCAGACAAACAACTTTTCGTAATTTTTTTGTAAGAATTAAAGCTTGTATAATACAGGCACATCTACAAATGCTGTTTCTTTTACACCCAACAGAATGTATTTGTACAACTTTCCTTGGCTTTTAGAAATGATAGCTACACCTTGGAATCTAGAATTAATCAGGCAGAGAGAGAGAGGAATCTTACTGAGGAGGACACTGAGAAGGAACTGGAAAACTTTAAAGCAGCTATTACGGTAAGAAGAAAAAATAAATTTTCCTCTCTCTCTTTCTCACGGAATAGAAGCACAACATATTTATAATGTAGTCAGCCTTAATGTTGGTGTAAAGAATGAGCAGAGGTAAGACATACAGTGCTAGACCTGTGTAATTTTCTTGCATTCAGTGTAAAAATGCCCTAGGTGAAACTGTGGTAAACTGTACTGTTTTACATGTTGTGTGTCTACAGTGTGTCCAAAAGTAGCCATTTGAACAGTTTGCTTCCTACTTAATGACAGGGTGCTATAATCAGAGATTACCCGAGCAGGGTGCGAGGCCCAGGGCAAATCAGCCTGCGTGGGGCCCCACCCCCAGACACGAGGAAGTCAGCAGCGGATTCGGTGACAGGGAGGGGGGTGCCAAGTGGCCGGATGTGAAGCCAGTAGCAGCACCGAGTTGCCGCGACGCTCCACCCGGCTCCGTGGGGCCCCACAAAGCGCAGAACCTGGGGTAGTTGCCCTGATTTACCCCCACCTAGGGACAGCCCTGGCTATAATAGCAGGCTATTGCATGTAGCTATCCTGGGACAGCAGCTCATCTGTCTCACTATATCAGTGTACAAAAACAATGTAAGGACAAAAATGTGAACGTGTCATGTATGGGCCCTCAGTGACACTGATAAGACCTCACTGACATCAGTTATGCTCACTAATACTAGGTGTGAATTTTATTCAGAAACATTGGTTTTGCTCCCTTTCACCATAATTTCACCATAACAATATTACCGGTCAAAATCAGAGAAGGATGCCTGGGCTTCATTACCTGGAGCAAGGTTATGTTCAGTTGAAATGCAATCATCTGAAGCTCATCACTGGGGAGTTGGCGAGGGGAGGGGGAAGTCAGCTATTGTGCCAGTCTGTCAGAAGGTGCAACATATGCACGTATGCTTTTCTACACAAGTGAGTCAGTCTAACGAGAAGAGTTTGCCTTCTCTCCTACCAGAGTGCTGGGATAAGTTTGCAGAGGGGATAGGGGGATGTTAAAGGAAGCTGAGTTGTGTTTGTGATCTGTAGGTTGTGGTATACATCATAGGATGTCTGGTTTTCCCTTGCTTCTGGGCTTGTAGGTCAACACATGGGGGCAGGAAAGAATATTTTCCCCTCCTGTTGCTACAGGTGTCAAGGTTTTCTTTTGTCTTCCTCAGAAGCATTGGGTATTGGCTGCAGCCAAGCCTGGGAAGTTTGACAGAGGTGTGCCAGTGCCCCTTCTTAAAAAACCCACAGGTTCCTGGCTACAGGGTCTTGCTCTTTCAATCAATCAATCAAAATAAAATAACCCGCAATTGGCATGAACTGTGAGAGTTTTTGTCGTCTTCTCCATCAGAGGGGCACAGTCCTTTTCTTTGGATCTCTGGAATGTGTTCAACAACTGTGCCTTGTTGAATCAACTGTACCTGTTCGAGAGAGTTTTTCATAAGTTTTTAAGAATAGCTTATCTAAGATGGCTTAGATAAGAATGATTCTGCCTTGAACAGGGGGTGTACTAGATCACCTCCTTGAGGTCCCTTCCAACTTACTCTTCACCACCAGTCTTCAGAACAGTAAATTTGTTGAGACAGGGTTGGACTTTCTTGTCACTCAGTAATGAACCTAACTAGACAATTTAGATAAGATGTTGAAAGAAGTTCAAGGTCTTGTCGCAGGGCACAAAGGTGCCCTGCTCCTAGAGGGGCAGAGGCTGCCTGGGAAGAGGCCCAGAGAGACAGACAGAAGCCCAGGTGCAGGTTGCCAGGGCAACAAGCCAGAGGGTAAATTAGCCTGCACCTGCACATGGTCAGCTGACTGGAAGGGGCAGGGTCTGGCTCATATATAAACCCCAGGACCAGGCCCAGAGAGGGCAGTTCCCTGCCAGCAGCCAAGGGGGAAGGAGCTCTCCCAGAGCAAGCAAAGGGGAGAGGCCTGTCCACAGAAGCAGCTTCCAATATTGTTAAGGGATGGAGCATTCCCCGGTAGGGTTTGTCTGAGGGTATAGCTGAGTGGCTTGAATTTATGTTACAGCCAGGGGCTTGCGTTTTGTTTATTGTTGTATAAAACCGGTGGCTTGGGTGAGGCTGTTAGGGGATGGAGGAGGCCTCATAGGGGACCCACTGCAGCATGGGGACCCCAGCACCAGAGAGGGTGCAGCATTTGGGGTGCACTGACCCCAGTGCCAGAGAGGGTGCAGCACTTTGCAGGGCATGGAACAAGACAGGGCGGCGGACAGCCCAAGCACCAGTGAGGCGCCAAGTGAGACAGAGCAGTGGAGAGCCCAGGGAGAACAAGGGGGGCAAATTATAACAAGGCCCACACTGAACAATGTCAGTTCCATCTGCGAGGCTTGGGGCGTGGTAAAGGGGTGGTTGGAGCCCAAAAGGGTAGGGTGCCCCAAAACACCCATTGCAAAACAGGACCCACAAGGGGTCCAGGAGCCCACAGGGTCAGACAGTACAGTAAACTGTGTCCAAGAGGACGTAAAGACAGCCTCCCTACTATATATATTTTCCATCAAAGACGTGGCGCACGAGAATTGAGGGTGCCCATTGGGCCAAGTTGGCACGCTAAGGGGCCTTGGGAGATCACGGCCATCCTGCAGGACCCCATCCCGTGACAATTCTCTCGTTCAGAGTCTTGAAGCTTATGGCTTAAAGTAAAAGCCCTATTTGGTTGTGTTAGAAAGAGTCACAGAAAGGAAAATGTTAAGCTTTCAAAGGAGAGGTGCAAGTGGTCACTTCGTAAAAATAAAAGATCAGCCAGGGAAACTTCCTTGTTTCTCACCTAACTTTCATGATGGCTGTTCTCTCTGCCTTTCATTGAAACTTTTGTCAGCAATCAACAGCCACCTTTCTTGTGTAGCTCTTACAACTTTCTTGGGATTATGTAATAGAAATACTAAATAGTTTTGAAATGTTTTAGTTTACAATATACTGCTCTTTTTGTGCTACAAGATACCTAAGAGCTATAATGCTGGTTATAATACCAGCTATATTACATCAATGGTTATGTTAGAATAAGGTGCTGATATGGCCTTGATAAATTATTAAAAGGTCATAGGACAAGATTCATTCATTTTGCTTTTCAAGCATGGCAAACTTACGAAATTGAAGGATACAGTTAAGCAAGGACGCTGTTTACATTTTTTTCATTGGAATATCAAAACTGAATTTAAAGATTATGTGTACTTAAAACACTGGGGACATCTTGCTATTCCTTCCCTATTCTTGGCTGTTTAGAGAGCTGTAAGTAAGGAAAGATGATCTCTTAGATTTCATTTCTTTATTTATAATAATCTTTTGTATACATTCACATTTTTAGCTGGTATTAGAGCATGTTAAAATGCAATCTATTAGTCAGCTGTATTAATGCATATTTTGGTTTAAAATCACTTATTAAAGAGAGAAACTAAGAACAGTGTTACCATAGAAGAAAGACAGCTAACTTTTCCATCCTCACCCCACATCATGGGGCACAATTTGGCTCATAAACCAATAACATAATATGCAACCTGAGGCAGTGCACAAGTTGTAATTTTAAGATATTAACATTTTACCATGAGCACATCACACAAGGAAGCAAATTAAAAAGTGACTAACCTATCTGAGAGTTCCTGCATTGCACAAGGGCCATATGAGGGCCTACCCTGCGCCTGATGAACTGGTAGGAAGTTACCAATTCATTTCTGTATGAACAGATCCATAGTGTCTGCCTTCATCATAATATGGCTAACCCTGATGATTTCCATGTGCCTTGTGATAGTTGAAACCCCAGCTGCCAAAGACAGCTGAATGTATAAGAGTCACTTTAGAAAATTGCAAAATTTTATGCCTAGATCAAGGGGCCCACAGGGCTCCCTAGAGGTCTAGATATGTGGCCATGCAAAAGTGGTGATACTAAATCTCCAGATCTGTAGAAAGCCCCAGGCCTTGACTGAGCACCGGATCAGGTACCCAATCCCAGCATGCAGGGTCAGGTGAGGGTATTGCCAAGCCCCAGGGCCCAATCCCAGTGTGTAGGGGACAGGTGGGGGTGGTGACTGGCCCCTGGGACCCAACCCCAGTGCACAGGGATGGGAGGGGGTGGTGCTGGGACCCCAGGACCCCATGTTGGCAGAAGGGGTGGTGTTGGGCCCTCAAAGCCCAATCACAATGCATGGGGGGTGGGAGGCAGCAGTGCTGGGCCTCATGGACCCAGTCCCAGGGCATGGGGGGTGGGAGGGGGAAGCACTGGGCCCCAGGGCCCAATTCCAAAGCAAACAGGATGAGGAGGGAGCGGTACCAGGTGCCAGGGCTCAGTTCAGCCAGCAGATAGGCCTTGTGACACTCATCTGGTTTGTGGGGCCAAAAACTTGAGCACCACTGGTCTAGATCATTCCAGAGATAATTTTGAAAATTTGACTTAAATGTAACCTAGTATCTTAAAGGCCAGACTACAACTTAAAAAGTCAGGAGTTTTTTTTTTTTTTTTTTTTTTTTTAAATCTCCTGATTCAGTCTCCAGATTCTTATAGGCCTGACTCATCATAGTTGAATGGTTGGTTTGGGCAATACAGGCAATCCTCTACTTACAATTTTTCAAGTTACAATGTTTCGCACTTAATACGTTTATAAATTGGCACTGTTTCAACTTTATGACGTCAGTTTTGACCTTACAACGCTTGATCCAATGCAATGCCACACCAGTGAACAAGTTCGCTGCGTTGCTCATCTCCCTGGAGAACTTCTATCCAAACTTCCTTGGACACTTTCTTTAAGAAAGCAGAAAAGACTCCAGAAAAACCTGCAGCCAAGACTCCTGAGAAGACTCCAGCCAAGAGCCCTTCAAAAAGTCCAGCAAAGTCGCCTCAAAGAAGTCCTTCCAAATCAATATGATTGCTATTTACAATATAAATACATTAATGTAGCTATATTACTCATCTATAATTGATCGAGTACAAAATTCTGGGATATTTTTGGTGAAAACAAGGTATCGGGCCTTGGTTCAAGAACCAATCCCCCATTCATAACATTGTTTCATATGAGAAAATTTGTTCAGAGTTACGATGTTTCGACTTAAGATGCAGTTTTTAGGAACCAATTGTGTCATAAGTCCGAGGACTGCCTGTACTGTAAATGGTTCACTAGAAGGAATAGTTTAGGTGGTTTTTTTCAACTTTAAATAAATAAACAAATGATAAACTATAAATAAAATCTGAATTGCAGGGGCTTGTTTATTTCTCATTCAAAGTGTCTTCTATTGGCCTGCAGTCTTGTAGTGTTTGAACATGCTAGCAACCTAGTACATAGGAATTGTTGTTGCTGTTGTTTAGATTTATATTCTGCTCTATCTAGAGAGGTTGGTATCTAACATCACAAAGTCTGGGTCAAGATTTCAGCAGCCCTGCAGCATGAGGGTATAAGGTCATTCTCATGTAAACAATGTTTAAAAAAAATTAAAGATTATCATAAATAACTGTACTAATAAAGAAAACAGCCTTTCACAAAGGCCCCAGTTCCAGAAAACACATAAAGAGTACTTGTCGTAAAGTGTGTGAATAACCACATAGAAGTCATGTGCATTACCTGATTTTCTCATTTGGAGTCAGGCTTACCAAAGTGAGTTCAGTTCAGTCATAATTAACGCATAAATACCAGTATTTCTGATCCAATTCCAAACCTATCTGTGGAATAGTGTTTTGATATATATTTTTTTTTTAGGCCATACTAATGTCATACTAATTATTATTGATTTTTCCTTCTGAGTTAAAGCAAAGTTAACAGTGATAGGGGTGTGTTTTTTAAGTAAATTAAATTAGAAGTGAAAAGTTTTTTGATGCCTTCCTACTAGACTAGAAAGATCAAGTGACCTGTATATTTTGGAAAGAGTTGGTGAATACTAATTGCAATATGGGGTATATTTTCTTTAAAGTTGTTCATAGGCCTTAAATGAATGAGACTTATAGATTTCAGTGGAAACAGTATTGCAAATGTGTATGTCCTATGCATTTGCCCCTAAAAATTTCAAGTCACATGTTGATGTACATCCTATCATTTCAGTCTTCAGCTGCCTTATGGCATCACTATGAGCACAGAGAAGCTTACCAGAAGCTGTTGGAGGATATTGCTGTACTGCATCGTTTAGCTGCTCGACTATCTAGCCGTGCCGAAATGGTTGGAGCTGTTCGTCAGGTAAGAATATTTTAAAATGTCTCCTAGATTCTCTGGCTTCTATTATTTAGCAATGACGTTTCTTAGATATTCAGAAAAGTCACTAAGTTCCTGGCACGGGTTTGTGTCTAACCATATTACGAACCTCATCATGCCTTGGATTTACTTCCATTTGCTGCAGTTAATATTACTCCTGTGAATTCTGACAGATTTAAAGCAGTTAACATCAAATAACATGCAGTTGCCTTCACAATGACACATTCCAGTAATACAATTCATGCAGATTTGAAAGCTACATTTGAAAGCTACAAACATTTGTATAATATGAAATTCATACCTATCTATATATAGATAGATAATTTAATATAATTATTGTTTCACAATATTTGCTTGGAAAACCAGATTAACCACAGAACCAGTCAAATGTTTAAAATGCACATGCACGATACATGCTCCAAATAGGAACTGCAGTAACAGTTTCTGTAAGCATAAATATGATAGGATAAGACATATGCATGGCCATTGTTAGAAAACATATACATGCATATGCCACATATAAAATTGCCAGTCATGAAAGGTACCAAGATTCTTTTTTGCACATCTATTCCAGACTTGGCACTGGTAAAGCTTGGCAGATAGAGATGAACAATTATTTAATTACCATAGAAGTCCCTTGTTTGTTTGTTTTTTCTCTCTCCCACTTTAGGAGAAACGCATGTCAAAGGCCACAGAAGTTATGATGCAGTATGTGGAGAATTTGAAGAGAACATATGAAAAGGATCACGCTGAATTAATGGAGTATAAAAAACTTGCCAATCAGAATTCTAGTAGAAGTTACAGCTCATCAGGTAATAAGAGCAATTTAAAGTCCAGGGGTTAATCTTGCCATTAATCAGGGGTGTGGTAGTCTTGTTCATCTTGCAAATCAGGTACCTTAAATCAGCTCAGGTACGTAAGTTACATATCAACAAAGGCTTGCATACATTTATTTGTTGGAAGTTTCAGGCCTGATTAATTACTCTATTTTAAGAGCATCTCTTTTTTTATTTATCATATATAGTGAACAAGACCTATTTTATCTGCCTGCAGTGGTTCTCAAAATGATTGTTCACATGTAATCCATTTCTGGTACATGTGCACACAGGGATTATTACTGCTTTTGACTTGAGCGGTAAGCCAAAATTTGGGGTGCTGAAGATTATTTCAGTTAGGAGGAGAAATTGGTAATGTGACCAGGGTTCTGGCATGCTATTCTGCTTGTACATTCATGTAAATAAAATCCTGACATATGGAGAACAAGAGGAATCAAAGGAAAACTTTCCTGCTAACAGCTTCTCTCTTTAGGCTTCTCTCAGAGCATAGGTGCTGAGTACATGGGGGCCCAAGGGCCCTGGCCCCGCTTGGGAAGCCTGTCCCTAATTGGGTGGGACTGTCCCAAAATGGGAATGTCAAGTCCTGGTCTCAGGCTGCATGACTCCGAGATAGCATTTGTCCCAGATTGGCAGTATCATGCAGGGATCCAGGTTTTCCGTTCACCACGGAAAAAACACAGGAAACAGCAGGTTTCCCTTTGCAGGCTGGCAGAGTTCCAGCCTGTAATGGACTGCACAGAGCAGAATGCAGGGGGTGCCATGCACGTGTATGCGTCTGCACACATGCACATCACCGGGAATACAGCCCCAGGCAACAGTGGAGAGCAGCTCCCCCAGCTGCCTGCAGATAAGTCTGGGGGAGGGGGAGCAGACTGAGGCCCCCACAGTGAGGAAAGGAGTGGGGCTGGGGCTAGGCCTGGGGATGCTGCCCAACCACTGCAGTGCATGGGAGCTGGGGCAGGGAGCAAGAAAGAGCCATGGCCAGCTTGTCCAGGAGTGGGGCGGGGGGAAGAGCTCTGTGCTGGCCACGCCACCTTGGTGAGGTGCCTCCTTCTCACTCAGCAGCAGGGGGAGTGGCAGCATGGAGTTGTGCCCCCCACTGACCTGCTAGCAGCCCACCCAGGCAGCCCCAAGAGGCACTGCCGCCGTGGAGGGAAGGACCAGGACCCCACAGCTCAGGGGCCACTCAGCCTGCTGGCAGCTCTCCCCCCAGCCACAGGAGAGGCAGGCAGGCTCCGTCAAAAAACAAGAAAAAAGAAAAAAGAATTGGGCTCCTCATCACTTCTGTCTTCAGCAGGCACCTGGGGGGCGAGCTGACAGCTGTAACATATCATTGCAGACTAAACTACATCCAGATGTAGTTTCGTTTGCAACAATGCAATTGTCATTTAAAAGACCCAAAACTCTTGAATGTGTACAGTGTGACACCACTAAGCCACACAACGTGACATTTTAATGGCATGTACATGTTAATGGCATCATGTGTACAAGTGTCCTAGGTGGCAACCACTTTTCAGTTCCTTCCTACACTTGTGAGTGCAAGAAAGAATACTTGTAGTACTGCAGTTTCTGTGAACTGCATTTCTGTGTACTGTGACTGACTTATTCTTCTAACTTAGTTTAGGTTTTCCTTTATTTAACATGTTGACCAAAAATTTTGCAATATAGGAGAGGTTTCTGAGTCTGGAACATGCTCTAGCACTGGACCCTTTTGGACATGCTTCAAGACCTCTCCCTCCTGCAAGGCAGCTTTTCCTGTCATTGACAAATGCTAAATTCCTCTTCTGCCTTGATGAAGTGCATCTTCCATCCCAAACTCTATTAGCTGCTGCTTGGAACAAAAAGGACCAAAAAAAATAGATTCCTTCCTAGCACTCTCTCTCTCTTACAAAAGCCCCTCAGCTTTTAAATAGCATGAAGCAACATTGCTTCTACAGGGAAAACACTATCTACACAGACTGTGCTCCTAACCCCTGCAGGAAGCCAACAATCTACCTTGAGCCTAATTGGCATTCAGAAAGTTCTGCTCTTTACTGCAGAGTCAATCAGATGATCCTTACGTTCCTATGCTCAACCTACAAAAGAGAAAATATTGAGGAGCAGCACTTTATAGGGGTTTATGAAGTTTATAGCCCAAACAGTGATGACAACTTCCCTTTAGGCTTTTTTAGTCTCAGAGATTTGTAAAGCACCTACCTGGGGTTTGTTTTAACAAAGCTATCCCTTAAAAGAAAACTGTAGCTCCAACAGTGATTTCAGCAGAGCACTCCTGCAGTCATCATTTCTGTAGGCTCCTATCATTGACATCCAAGTTACAAGTTAATGCTTCTGAGTCACCAAAACCAAAAATCATGTGGATGATTGCTCAAAGAGAAAACATTTACCCTACAGACGGTAAACCTATGAAATTTATTGTCCACATATCTTCCATGGCCTGCCCTTCTTGCCCACCTCCAGAGAGTCCTTCTCAATACAGTTTCTCTTTTGACAAAAGAAGTAGGTACAGTTAGGCCCACTTCATCCATATTGTCCTTGACTGTGGAGTACAGAAGAACATTTAGGGATTAAGTGAAGCTCCATGGACACCGGCATCAAAAAAATTTGTGCACACTATCCTTAGAGATGTGATGACAAAGAATATATTCCAGGGTATAGAATTTTATAGTGATAAAAATATTGGCACCATTTGGTTTTTATGTTATTTGTTTATGTATCTTGTTGGTTGTTTACATTTTTAATATTTTCTAAGAAAAACTGGCATGTAAGACAAGACAGGAAGCTCAGTTCTGATTTCAATGGTAACTGAAATCAAATGGGAAAAAAAAGTTCTCGTGGAACTGAGACTGGAGTCCAAACCAGCATTTTATAGTATAGGACTTCTACAAATAGAACAGTCTTTGTTCTTATTTCAGTGTTGTTTATATGCATAGTTTAACTTTTTCTCTATCTGCTATTCTTCATTGCAGAAGATGGAGTACCTCGTTCATCTAGATCAATGTCTCTTACTGTTGGAAAGGTATTTTTTACCGTATTAATGAAAATTTGTGAACTATAAGGAGGTTTCACATACCTAAAGTTCAGTGTTTAAGCCAGTGATGCTCAGTAATGGTGCTGCAACACACTGGAGTGCTTTCAGATCTTTTCAAGGGTGCTGTGTGGAAACATAATTCACATGATAAATCCAAAGATCTCAAATGGGAATCCATGGTATCAAAAACATTCTGACCTATTGTGGTCTTTGTGAATTGGTTGCAACAGAACAATTGCTCTGTTATTTTTCAGCAGTCAAAAAATGAGCATAAACTAAGAGCTGGCATTTTTAGGGGTGCCTTGAGCTGAACAAAGGGTGCTTTGAGTCTAAAAAGGTTGGGAACCACTGATCTAAGCACATGTAGTTCTATTGCCAATATTATTCATATTACAGTCCTGACCTGCAGCAGTTTGTGATGCCCAATCTAAACATCAGGGAATTTTGAATAACATATTTACTCAACTCTGAAATGAGCTGTCCCCATCCCCGTCTTGGATCCGCATTTGGGTGGAAAGGGGGGAGCAGGCAGCAGCTGCAGCTATAATTCTGGCTTTGAGTCTGGGTTGGGGCCAGAGTCAGACCTACAGCAGCCTCCTGTCTCCACCTGCACTAGCCTTCTGCAGCCTCTGCCCCAACTCTGCCCTCTTCCCCACCCCCTTTACTGTCAGGCACAGCTCAGGTCCATCTTGGGTTTGATTTCCTCCCGGGCATGGAGCACATGGAAACTCTGATCCAAGCCTGACCAATCAGCAGCACAGGCGCTGCTGTATTGCCTGCCTCACCAATCAGCAGTGCCAGCACTGCTGCATGGCTGGCAGGGGCTGCTCTTCCACATGCTATGTTCTGGGGAGGGAATAGAGCCTAAGCAGTATCTAATAGTAAGCGGAGGTGGGAAGGGGGAGACAGACACTGGGGAGTGGGAATGAAGAGAGTGTGGGGACCTGGGGGTGGAGGGTGCAGATGGCAAGGCAGGCAGGAAGGCTGCAGTGGAAGCAGTAAGGGAGAAGAAGGCACAGAGACTGCCTGATGCTCCCCAGCCACCCAACCCACCCAATCACTATTTTCCCTGCTATAGCAGTGGGTGTGAAGAGGCAAGAAAAGCCCCTTTTGAACCCCCAGCTGCTGAGGGAACTGACTCACAAGCCCCACCAGAGACAGCAACTGCAAGAGACCAGAAGCCAGTGCGGAAGCCCTGTTTTATTAGCAACTGTTTGGTCCGGATTGGACCAACTGATTCTCCAGAAGCAAGAGATTTTGAGAAATAGAAACAAGCTTAGCAGTGCATTCATTTGTTAGTCTATTCCTGTTTTTTGTCTTGATTGAGCTGAAAGCCTTCCAGTTCCATTCATTGTTACTAATGAATTTTATGAAACAATGAATTTTTAGAAATAAAAAATTTCCCATGGAAAAATTAAGCACTGGATTTTTCTGCCCCACAGCTCTGGCTGCCACACGGAGATTGGCAGTGCAGGAATCAGGGTTTTTTCTTTTCCTTACTTTTGCTTTCACTTTCAGCGGGGCAGCCTATCAGGCTGAGTTCCTATCATCAGGAGAAGGAAAAGGGAGAAGTCAGTGTCAGGCTGGGGCCAGGGGGACACTGGACCAACACTGGGCTCCCTTGCTCCAGAAAGATAGTTAAAGAAGGGCCAGGAAAAGGCCCATTCCCCAGTGGGAACAGGACTCTGTTGTGGAGGTGCTGAGTGAACTGGCACCGTAGCATTGGGGATCAAGACAATCACCCATGCTTAGATTTGTAAGGGATCAGGATTTCTCCTATGTTCTTTTATAGTTTTCCTTTGGCCGATAGGGATGGGCTTTAAAGAATGGTCCTCAGCTCTCAGGAGTAATAGACACCATAACAGGGTCACCACCAGCGGTCATAATGGCCCCAGGGCCAAGAGACTTACCTGAGGTCTAGGTCTTTGCTTTGTGGTGTTCTTCCTTTTTTGTCTTCTGTTTGCCAAGCCTTGACAGGACAGCTCTCATGCTAACATAACCATCATTTCCTAGAGAGAGGCCCAAAACAACTGCAGGCCTACAGAATCAGAGAACACCCTTTGAGAGCCAGCGGTGGAGCTGACACACAGACAACTGGGTGGTGCTTGGCTGGGGTGTAGGGGAGGTAGGAGCCCTAATGAAGTGTCAAGCCCAGTACTTCTGGGTCAGCACGCAGCAGAGCAAGCTGCCTCCTGACAAGTATACCCTCAACATCAAGATGTGGCAGGCAAGAGTTGGGTGACTGCTAAGCATCTGGACCAGCTGAGTTCGTTCCCCCACAGCCGAGTCCAACCAAGTGCGGGGCTGCCAGGGCCCACATTCCTACCCTGTACTGCACCAACAGGAGGGATGGGGATGAATTCAAGACAGCTCTCCAATAATTAGATTCTATACCTGGAAAAGTTATAAATTTTCCATATATAGAATCTAATAATGCGGGGGGAATCTTAAATCAGGGTCAACTTAGAATCGAGTAATTATGGTAATTGATTAAAAATACTATCTAAACTAATAGGTGATAGTAGCACTTACAATTTAATTGAAAATTAAAGGAACATCATTAATCTCCTTTAGACTGATATTATATTTTAGTATAATCCTGAATAGCAGTCACTGGGCCTAATCTTCAGCTTTACCTCAGCTGAGCTATGAGGTTTTACCAAGCTGAGTATCTAGTCAAAGATGGCTCTTTTATACTCAAGAATAGATGAATATTCAAAAATTGTCATTCTTGGTAACTATGCTGTTTTCACAGCAACACACAAATAGTCAGTAGGTTTCAAGATTGTGGTTCATTCGTTTAATTAGTGCTGAAATATCTTTCCCTAATATTTTGGTAACATATTCAGTTTCAGATACTTGGCTGATTAATAGCTTTAACAAGGCTAGCTTTATTTCTCTGCACAAATTCTGGGTTTGAGTCCCAGTTTATAAACCAGCTCTGTAAAATCCCTAATAAATTAATACAGTTGAATAGGTATTCAGCTAATATGAAATGTGATCATTATATGGACTGTTCAACTTCAGATTTTATTCCACATTCAAATTCCTTCAGTTGTGGTTCTTATTCCCATCCTTGGGCATCTGCTCAGGAAACTGTGCACGAAGATTCTCCTGTCCATATACCAACCATACTCTAATCCTGCACTATCTGAGCAGAAGCTTCTAATATTAGTATACCCGGGTGCTAGACTCACCTTGAAAAAGCAGGGGAATAAATACCAATATCAATACCAGTCAGTAGAATTGAGTGGACCCTGTGTCTGGATAAAGATGCTCACAGCATAAGTCAGGAGAAGGGAAGATTCAGATTCTTTTTTCTGTGACTTTTTTTCTCTTAATAAAAACCCCACCTAAGAGACCATATTAACAGAATATTAAGTTTAAGCAGTTACATGTTCAAAAGTCAAGAATTGCAAAGTTAAAGTTGCACATACTATTTTAACTCCTTTCCTCACCTCTATGCATTTTGGTAGGTATTAATTACGATATTATTTAATAAGACTTTTATGTTACGCATTAAAGAGAAATAACAAATGCCAGGATTTGTCAGAATTGAGCAACTCCTTCCCCCTAAAGTTACTCAGAAAAGAGCAGTATTTGGCCATGTATTGAAAAATGTCTTCGTTCTTTTTTCAGCCAGTAGGAAATAGATTATAGTACTTTAGATGCATATTGGGGGATGAGACACTTAACTACTGAAGTGATTTATCTGCAGACTTTGTGGATTTATACATACCAATAAAAGTTCACTATTACTTTGTTGTAATATTTGATCAATAATGTATTATGCAAACTTACTTTTTGTACAGATGATTTTTAGATCCTCTGTCTGACAAACACAAAGGCCCCATACAGGCATTACATTACCAGGAAAATCACCACTGTGCTGATTGAAGCAACAAACATACAAGCATTCATTCAATTTCTCCCAAGGGAAACATGTCCCCTCCAGGAAAAAGATCTTTCAGGTGTCAACTGTCTGGAGGAAGTGGGGCAGCCTTTTTTTCCTATGGCTTCCAAAGACCAGGATCATCCCGGTGTAGGGAAGGCGTGAAAAGGATGGAGAAGGAGCAACTTCAGATTAAAGGGCTGTACTGCTCCCTCTCCCAGAATGATTTCTAGCAGTGGAAATTTCTCAGAAACTTTGACCATTAGAAATGAATGTCTGTTCTAGGCCAAAGCACTATGGGATGCTAGATGCATAAGAGAAAAGTATGTTATTGTTACTGTATTATTTGAGAAATAGTATGTGACCATTTAGTTACAGAATGCATCATAAAGGATACACTAAAAGGAACAGAGTTAAGATGCACGTGCAACTTCAAAATTTTGCAACCTTTGCAATATTAACATTCACTTAACATCATTTTATGTTTGGCATATCTAAATATGCTAATATAAGTAAGACCATTTCTGTTGTGTGTTTTATATTCTTTATAACACCTACCAGCCAGTTGGCACCATCCTTCAGTGTCATTCAATATTTTACAAGCTGGTTGTATAATAAAGTTTGTTTATTACAGAACATGCCTCGGAGAAGAGTCAGCGTTGCAGTTGTTCCTAAGTTTAACTTATTAAATATTCCTGGTCAATCACCTAGCACATCACCTATCCCTTCAATGCCAGCTCTGGTAAGTGAAAATAAGTGTATAATTTTAATAAATTGATATGGTTCTTTAATCAGTTTCACATAGGCATGAGCAGTCAGTCCTGAAAAAGTCTGAGCCCATTAGGCAATGCAAATTTTTAGTGATACAGACTTAACTCAAGCATATGGCTTAGGTTGGGAATATTTATGCCAGACTCTCCACACCCTTTCTTAGCCCAGAAATATGTAAAACCCAGGTTTAAGGAAAGACTTTTAAGAAGTGTGAAGTCCCCATGTCGTATGTATTTGCTTAAGCCTTCATTGAGACACATAGGAAGTTTTCCAATATACTGATACTGAGTAAAGTTTGTGACTCCATCCTAATGAAGTGGCATGCGTGGCCATATGGTATACATTGTTAAAAGGAGCATACCCTCAGAGTCTACCTTGATGACCGGGCATTAAAGGACACCGGTGGAGCTGTTGTTCATCAGGGTAGGGCCTCATAGCAGCTCTAAACATAATTTGATTTCTAAATTCTAATTTCTGTTTATTCTGTGATATGAACACTGTGGCAGCTTCTAATCTGTCATAGGCATCTGCCAAAAGAGGAAAAACTACAACTAATACCCAATAGAAACTCAACTTGTACAAACTCATATGACAGAAATACAAAACTCCTACAATAGCCTAGGGTAAGTAGACTGTTTAGCCTCTGATTTGTCTTTTTGTTTACACAGGGATAAATTGGTATGGTATGATATACTGTCAGCACGTTAAAGCAGAACCCAATAACACACGAATTTAACAAATCTACTTATCCATATTACTCCCAGGCACAATGTGCCAAATACACAAGACTTTCAAAGTTGGACCAAGAAGATGCATCACTTTTAAATTTATGTAATCAGACTTCTCTACTAGAAACCCAGAGGTTTGTTTAATGAGTATTATTGCTAACAACCACCTGGAGAGCAGAACATAATACAGTGATGACTTAAAGGAAAATACTGTTAAATTTAAGTTCATTTTAATTTTAAAAAAAAGCACAAGTACATTACATCCCCTTAGGTCAGTATGTACCCAGAAGAATTATTTAAAGACCTAAAAGATTTCACTCGTATTTGTTTAGCATTTTTCACAGGCACAATTTACTAAAAAAAAGTAGAAACAAAAACATGATTGTACTGATTACAGTATAGTAGTTAGCATCAAACAAAGGGGTTAGTGTCAAACTAAACATACACAGAGAAAAGAAATAAGGTAGAGAACCACAAGAGTCTATTGCTTACAGAAGCAGGAGAAAGAAATAGTTTGGAAGCTCCATTTTTAAAAGATTTTGTGTGGTCCATTTGGGATGAACAACTTCAGATAAGAATTATATTGACTTTATTCTGTTCTGATGTGTTATTTGCTTTTTCAATTCACAGTCTGAAGCGCCTAATGGAAAAAGCAATCTGACATCTACCCCTGTCCTACCAGCACTCTTAGAGAAGTGAGTTTTCTCTGGTTATTTATCATATTAGGATTTATTAGGTAATAAAATACAGTTAATCTAAAAATGTCACTATATGTATGAGGAAGCTAAAATTACACTACTGTAGTCATTGAAGTCAGTGGAGTGATGCTGACTTATACCAGTTAAATATCTGTCTCTATTCATTACTTAGTAAATATATGATGCTCTTTTTATAGTTAAATAACTTTGCAAATCTAATTAATCCATACAAATAACTCTCTGAACACTGTAGGGAACTGTTGTTCTCATTGTACACACTGTTACAAAACCAGACAAATTAAGTAACTTCCCAAGTCTGCCTTGATAGAGTACTCAGCGCTAGAGCACAAAATGTGGGGATTCCCAATCCACTTTGCCTACATGTATGTGGGACTTGCTCCCTACAGATGGAATTACAGTGTTTCATTAAATTACAAGCTGCATACATGAGAAAGGAGAACAGGCTATCACCTGTGCCTCTAGGGAGTCCTCTTCTCTTAGTAATACCTAGTAACATCCTTTTTAAATTGAAATGGATTTCAGTCGCTGGCTCTCCATATAATCATGTGGATAGCTACCAATGCAATTTTTGTTTCTAACCAGTGACAAACTGATGTCAAATGTATAAACATTCCTGAGAGCAGGTACTGAGCCCAGGCTCCTACCTTTCCCAGAAGAGTGCCCTCATTATTGGGTTACAAACTCATGATTAGAGTACCCTGTGGGAGGTGAGGAATATGGGTTTGACTCTTTGGGAAAATGTGATATGTTTTATTAAACCAACTAAATAGTTGGGAAAATCATTCTTTGCAAGTTTTTTGGGCACAAACACCCTTCTTCAGGCGTTGGAAGAGTCTGTTTATGTTTTGTGTGCTCTCCTGGATGGAATAAAAGCCAAATATGCAAAATGCAGGTCTGTGAAAATGTGTGGCAGTGAAGATCAGAGGCGATGGGAAACAATAGGCATGAGACAGGTAGGTGTAGGGGAAGAATGAGAATGTTGAACTGGTGATGGAATGTAGCTGATAAAATACAGACAGCTTACCTGGGTATCAGGTGGCAGGCAGGTTATAATGTGCCATAAATCCAATGTCTGTATTTAGTCCATGGTTTTTTGTATCCAGTAGATTTATAAAAGTGAAGTTCATAGGCTTGTCTACAAAAGGTATTTTGTAAATTCCCTTTGAGGGTTAGAAATGAGAGATTGGAGACAGTGGTTGTCTTGTGAGAAGTGTGCATCCACAGGTAATTAAGTATTTTTGTCTTGGATAGATTTTCAGCATGCATTTCTCCTGGTATGCAGTTGTTGTTTGGTTTCTTCTACATATTTTCCATCAGGGCATTTAGTGCACTGGATGAGATATATTACATTTCTGGAGGTGCAGGTGTAAGGTCCAGGGATGGTGATGGTTCTCTTGGGGGGTGTAGTTATTGTGGGAGTAGTGGAGATGTGTTGACAGATTTTACATTTCTTGTCCTGGCATGGTCTGGATCCATCTGGTGTGCTTTTGGGCCATAGGAAGTTTGCTTCTTGTGATGAGGTTGGCGAGGTTCGGTGCTTGTTTAAAGGCTAGGATGGGTGGTTCTGGGAAGATTTCTTTAAGAATTGGGTCTTCTTCTAGTATGGGTTACAACTGTTTCAGGATTTTCTGTATAGATTCCAGGGAAGGACGGTATGTCATAACTAATAGTGTGCAAGTCAAGAGGATTTTCTTTTTGTACTGCAACAGTTCTTCACATGGTATCCGGTTGGCTCTTTCAAAAGTGTGATCTATCTCTCTGGGGAGTGTCCTTGTTTGGTGAAAGCCCTTTTGAGATATGCACGGTTTCAACTGAAGGTGTTCTCCTCAGTGCAAATTTGGTATCGGAAGGCTTGGCTGTCGTATTACAGCATTCTTGATGTGTTTAATGTGATTGCTGGTTCTGTGCAGATATGTATGTTGATCTGTGGGTTTCTTGTATATGGTAGTTTGTATTTTACCGTTCTGGGTAGTGATTGTAGTGTCTAAAAAGGAAATGTTGGTGCTGGCATATGATGATGGAATTTATGATGGAAATCAATCAGAGATTGTAAGGTTTGGGTCCAAATGATGTAAATGCCATCAATATATCTTAGGGATACCATGGGTTTGATGGGGCAGTTCTTGAGAAATTCTTCTTCCAGGAGGCCCATAAAAAGGTTGGCATATTGTGGGGCCATTTTGGTGTCCACAGCTGTGCCCATGGTCTGGAAGAAGTGTTAATTATTGAAAGTGAAGTTGCATGTGAGGATGAAGTGTGTAAGTTTGGTAATATCTTTAGGTCCATACTCTGAGTTGTAACCTTGCCCTTGTAGATATTGGTACATAAGCTGGTAACATCCAAGGGAGGTGGTGCTTTCTGCTACCTTGGGACCCTTTAAGAGAAGGCTGGATAGGCATCTGGCTAGGATCATTGGACCCCAGCACTCTTTCCTGCCCAGGCAGGGGAGTTGGACTCTGATCTGTTGAGGTCCCTTCCAACCCTAGCATCTACGGTGGCTAAAAGGGTATTGCTGGAAAGGTTGTCTATGTCTTTAAGTTTTCATAGAAAGTTTGTTCTGTCTTGGACAAAACTCGCTCTTTGGGTAACAAGAGGTTTTAGGATGGATTTGATGAGACCTGATATTTCCTCAGTTAGGGTTCCATGATTGGATATTATAGGTCTGCCTGGGTTCCCATGTGGATTTTAGGGAGCATATAAAAAGTCCTGAGGTTGGGTAGTGGGGGATCAAGTTCTGTAGGTTTTCTTGTAGTTCATATGGAAGTGATTTGATGGTGGTTTTGAGATGAAAAGGGGAGTTGGATCTTCCTCTAATTTTTCATAGTAGGTTTGACTCCTTACAGCTTGAGGAGGCCTAGAACTGAAGTCTCCCAGTTCTTGGATGAGTGCTCTACCCACACTATTGGACTCTAAAGGGTAAGCACTTCATCATCATTCCCATTGTTTTTGAATGAGAGGCTATCTGCTCTGCTTTGTAATGGTCTCAGGGCTGCTGTTGATATCTTTGTCACCTTATCCCTGGGCACTCTGAATCCAGAGATGACAGAGGTATCTAATACACAGTCCTAAATCGAGCACAAAGGAAGGGCAGGGAGTCCAGGTTCCTTTGTGCCTAGAATTTCCTGTTGGCTTACTCTAGTCACCTTGCTGCTCAGTGTCAGGGTGCTCTGGCCTGCCCTTTGAAAGCACCTCTCACCACTGACTGTATAAGGAGACTTTATTCCTAACTTTATAGAGTTGAATCACCAACCAGGGGCAAAGTACCTTATTTTTAGATGCTGCAATGGTTTGAGAACTTAACTTGAGCAAAGACAGAAGAATTGGGCCTCTGGAGAACTACTCTGTTGAAAAAGCATGCATCTAAAGATATTCCTAAAGCAAGTTTGAAGATACTTTAAATAGTTTAAATTGTGGACATTTGGTGTGGACATTGTGGTGAAATGCAACTAATTTTTTGAATTTAGGAACACAGTGCATTCTGCAGCCTTCTAAAAAGTATAGTATACATTTGCACTACTTCCCTATTTACTAGAATCAGAAAAGTAGGGCTAGAAGGGACCTCAGGAGGACATCTAGTCCAACCCCCTGTTCAGGCAGGATCAACCCTGTCTAAACCTATGCTAGACAAATATAAAGTCTAGAAAAACATAGTGACAAATTTTCTAAGTCATGGAAACAGACTCAAAAGTAAACGCATCAGATTCTGACATGAGAAAAGAAGATGCACCCAAATTACTTAAGCAGATCTTGACAAAAGATTTCCATTATGGATACAGGATATGCTGCACTTGGAAATTGTGTGTGTGTCTGTTTAACCTAGAAAGTGCATAGCATATTGACCGGCTTCTTCTAAGGAAAAGCACTTAACTCTTACAGGAAAAAGTAAATATTCTAAGGAAGTTGCTTGCTGACATTTCAGAATTTTTTTAACACTTTTTGAAATGTGTAAGGCAAGGACTGCAAGAAGGCAATTCTACTGGTGGAAATTTCTGAGAAAGTCTCAGCCTGCGGCTGCCCTTTCTCCACTGTTCTCTCTACCTTTCCCAGACCAGGGTGATCTTTTAGTTGGAACAGTGATTCAGATATTATTTGAGAGATTATATTAACGTACTGGTGATATTAGGTACTTAATTTTAAGGTATCCAGGTTGTAGCTGTATTGGTCTAGATGAAAAGGCAATCAGATCTCATAGTAGAGATTATGTCATCTCTACTACAAGTCAATATTTTAAAGAAATTCAGTAAATTCAATTTCTACCACCCACCCACCCACTTTGCAGTGTTTGGGTATAATATTTGTGAAAAGGTTTGTGGTGCCTTCTCCACTTCTCCCAGTCCCTGGGATGAGTGGAGTGGGAAAAGACTCTGTGGCTTCCTGAGACTGGGGTCTGGGAACCTGGCAGGGAGCAACCTTCTCCACTCTGCTCCTTGTCTCCAGGAGTGGAGCAAAGAGAGCACTGAGGCAAAACCCCCAGCTCCTTCCCCAAGCTGGGCAATGCCCAGTTTAAGGCAGAGGCAGGGAACAGCAGTGGCTGCTCCCCTTCCTCCTGGATAGATCCAAGAAAGAAGGGGGAAAGTGGGGCAAAGCTCCCACCCATTCTCCAGAGCAAAGCCCCCAGGTCTAGCTGGTGGGGAGCAGTAAGCAGCAGCTCCTCTACTCTGCTCCCAGTCTCAGAGACTGGAGTGGAGGGAACAGTGGGGTAGCTCCTCCCAGGCCCAGGGATCAGGCTTGGGGATGCCCTCCCTGAGTCACTTTCCAGCCCAACCAGCTTCTGAATTGCACCCCACCCAGCTGGGCAGCATGGGTGGCAAGGGGAAGCTGCCAAGGCTGACAAAGCCCCCAGTCTCTCCCCAAAACTGGGGACTGCCTGGTTTGAGGAAAAGGCAGGGAGTGATGGCTGCTTCTCCCTTCACTTCCCAGACCAGTCCTGGAAGGAAGTAGCTGGACAAAGCCCACAGCCCACTTCTCACTCTGGGGACTCTGGTCTGCTGCTTCCTCAGTTCCCCGCGTCTGGGAGCTGAGCAGAGGGAGAAGCAGGGCCAAGCTTCTGACCTAGTTCTCACACTGGGGCCTCCCAGTCACAGTTTAGGTGAGGCACCTGGTCCCACACTTTCTGAACACTCTTTGATCCCAGGAGAACTTACTCTACACCAGGCAGTTGGTTGTGACTCTGTAAAAATATTTTACTCTTATGTTCTGCCTTCCAAACACAACGTGCTTGTTTTATTGGGGGGGGGGGGTTGCATGTGGGACTTTAGAAAGTATGTGACTACGTAAATTTTGTTTTTATAATTCTTTTTTCAAAGAAAAAGCATTTCATCCAAAAATCCTAAATCATCCTTTTAGCTTCTGTCATTCACAGGCATGTATTACTATTAAGCAATGTAGTGGCTTATCTTTAAGCTAAGCTTTCTGTTACTTAAACCCACTTTTACTGCAACATTCCTTATCTGTGCATCCTAGACGCGTATGTAAAGAGATATGCACACATAAGAAAATAGGATAACAAAAAAGAAAAATAAGAAAAATATTGTATTACACAAATAACTATTATTATATTTTTTAGAGTTGTTTTAAAAAGTCTGCGGCAAGCTGTGTTAAAAAAAAATCAGTATGAAATGAATGCCGTGTGTGAGCAGAGAACACAAATATTCTAAAAATCCAATATCTAAAGCCTTAAAAGGGACAACATTTAAGCGCTGTTTAAAGCCCTCTTTAAACAGTAACTTTTTAAATTATCTTTGCTTAGAATTTCTGATGTTTTCTCCTTTTCCAAGGCATTACCCTAAAGCAGATTAAAAGAAGTTACTCAAACTTCCCACCAAAGACGCATTTGGATTTCTCATAACTAGAAGCGAATATATGCAAAATAAATTATATCGCTTCTCAACAGCAGATTTCAGGTGCAGTACATTCTAATGCTACTTTTTATTTCTTGTTTTCCTTTGCCAGTGGAAAGTCAAATGGGGAGCATGACTGTGAATCGCCTGCTTCCATGTTAACACAGAGCATCTCGGTGGAGATTCATCCTGACACAAAAGCAAGGATAGAGGAGGAAGCATATAACAAAGGGTAAGAATGTTTGTGTAATCTGAGTTTGCTGAGATGTGTTTACTAAGGGAATATGCATGCTTTCATAGCGCAGTTGTAAAGGTATGTGCACCACAAACCTTTTCACAAATATTATACCCAAACACTGCAAAGTGGGTGGGTGGGTGGTAGAAATTGAATTTACTGAATTTCTTTAAAATATTGACTTGTAGTAGAGATGATATAATCTCTACTATGAGATCTGATTGCCTTTTCCTCTAGACCAATACAGCTACAACCTGGATACCTTAAAATTAAGTACCTAATATCACCAGTATGTTAATATAATCTCTCAAATAATATCTGAATCACTGTTCCAGCTAAAAGAATTCTAATAAAATGTGCCTTGGGCTTTTTGTGTGCTGATGTGCACAGGCTTGAGCAGAGGATTTACATGAGACTCTTACACCACACTTTTATAAATGCCCGTGTATTCACAAGGGCTCAAAGTAGTAGAGAGGCATTGGATGCATCTTTCTCTAAGTGGAGAACAAAGAAAGTTGACCGTCTTGTGAGGAGTGAGGGAGGATCCTGATTTCAGTCTATAGAAGCTAAAGTGTACCTTTAGCACTTATTCTTAATCCAGTATGTGATAAGATCTAGCATGTGACCTAAAAGAATAAAAAATGACCTCTCATGTGATACCACAACAACTGTAGTCAGTTGAGAACTATTACCTTCTTTTGCAAAGAGCTGAACCTAGTGATAGTTTTTCTGACTAATATGATTCTCTGGTATGAGACGGGAGAGTGGAAATAGATGGTATATTAGTGGCCTGTGCTGCCATTTTTCTTTTGTGTGGGCACCACAAGACAAATGGCTATTTGTACTTTATTTAATTGTTAAAGAAGAGCTAGTTCTTCATGGAACAAGAAATGTATTCACACAGTATTCCAGCTAAGAAAAATACTTTGTGGTTAAAGTTATCAGGAAGGCTTAAAGAAAACCAAAGAACTTCAAGAGCTGAAAGAGGAAGATGAAGAGAAAACAAAAGAAAGTCCTGATGAGTGTGAAGAGGAAGAAAACGATGATGACATAAAAAAGATGACAAACAGGTGAGACTCCAGTGTGGTATGTTGGGGCAAAAGCAGATTTATTTGGAATGTGCAGTCAAATATTTTACACTGTTATTGAAACATGACCAGTTTGTCTTGAGTTGGAACAGCCTAATCTCCTGTACACGTGTGGCTCAGATCTGTGGTGAGACGGGTGGCTTCCGTATTGCCAAGTCTGAAAGTACTCTTTTCTGCCCTCCACCCCATCGCAAAGAACCGACTCAAAAATTCGTTAACTCAATGAAGCAAATTATGAAGTAATCAGGATTTGAAATATTGTCAGACTATAGCAATAGGACTACCATTTTACAGAGGAGGAAAGAGGACTTAAAGTCCAGACTTCACACACTACAATTGGTTGACTGTGGGACCCCGGAAAGTCCCATAATATCTATTTGTATTTGTTTACCCATTTTAAAAAAAGGATACAACTTTTTACTCCAAGCAGACACCTATGTATATGAGACAAGAGAAATGATGTTGTATTTCATATTACCACAAAGTTATTAAGATTCCTAGTATTAAAATAAGTGATACGTATACTATTATTATGTATCACTGATCATCTTTTTTTTCCAATTTACAGCAAACTTGAAGTTGTAATTAATTATTTACAAATACTGTACCCCAAACTGTGCAAACACTGGAATGTGGTCTGGATTGTAGCAGCAGCGATGATCATTTTTGCTGTGATGTTGGGGATCTACCATTCGTTCACCTCCTGTGTTGAATTATCAGATGGACCAGAGGGGAAAGCCACCTGTTCTGCTGTCCAGCAATACTCCTGGTGGAATTCAGGACTTCAGCATGAGCAGCGCACAGAATAATAAATGAAAGATAAAATATTTATGGTACATAATCAAGCACACAGTTTAAAACACAGATCTTAAAGCAAAGTAGTGCTTTGTTGTTTTCTGGTATCAAATGTGATCAGTAAGCCACATGAGTTATTCTGCACCATCAGGCTTGGGAATCGCTTGTGATTCAACCAGGCAAGCTGACCCTCCAAGAAGTGCTTCTGCCTTTTTGTCCTGCTCATTGTATCTGACTGATATCAGTAGGAGTAAGATCACATTTAAATCCACATTGAGATTTTAATAATTATCAGCAATTACCAGGACATTTAAGGTAAAGGCTGACACACAAGGCTTTGAGAAAAAGCCATAAAAACTCCTGTCTATGGAGTATCTGCTTTAACTTGGCATCTCCTGGCTTTTTTTGATTCTTGTTGAAACACTAATGCCTTTTAAGTGTAGGGGTTTTTAAACTGTATTTAATTTCCTTGTTTAGGGCTGTTGTATGGGAGGGCCTTCCATGGAAGACTAAAAACAAGATATTGGGTCATATTTATCTGTGGTGTAGGTGCATGGGAAGAGTTGTACAGGGATGAAGATGACCATGACTTTGTGTAACAATCCAAACAAAACACTAAGTACATATATACAAGCATCCTATCAGAATGACCTAGATGGCAGGGCAGATGCTCCCCACTGTGTCCTCTGTGCTGGATACCTTCTTAGTGTATGAAAGGGCCATGCTATATAGTGCATTTTTCTGTTCCTCCGAATAAGAGTGCAGTGCAATCGTTGCTGATTTTTGCTTGGCAGATTAGATATGCCCCCTAAACCTCAAACCACAGCAGTCTTGGACTTGAGATGAAGGCCAGCACTTGAGCACTCCAGATGGATTCTGCTGTGCTGCTTACATTAAAAGGGACTCCCAGTGGTCCTCCTCTTCATTCGCTTGCACACCAACACAGCACTGTTTGCGGTAGAGTCCTTTGGGTGGTTAAACTGCTTATGAATTTAATGTCCTATACGGAGATCACTGCACATGTCCAGTAGCTCAGTTTCAGAATCAAATGCAAAATGTGTTGACTAATATATTTTCAAACTAAGTTATTAGGTCATTATCAATTGATCATTTGTCCAACTTTTTACTGATTCCACCTATTTTGGAATTCAAGGAATTCACAAAGGAATGTGAAAATACTGACATGATATTGAGGGTTTTGTGTATATATGAGTTCAACCTGGCTTAGGGGGCTGACAACTGAATGCAGGAATGTTCTGTCTCTTCCTGCAGAACATTCATCTTCCCAAATAGCTAGGCATTTGAACACAGCTGAAGTTTCACACCAAATGCGACCCTAGAGTGAGTTGCTGGGCTTCAGCAGCTCACTTCAGTTGGTGTTTTTGTGGGATTATCAGTCTTGTTTGTTGAGTGATGACAGGGCAGCTTCCGCTAGGGAAGGATGAGGAAGTCCTGTGCAGGACGTAATTTCAGCTCACATGCATGGAGTAGCAGCCTGTTTACTTTCAGTGTAGTCCCCAAACTCTTAGCGAAACAACTACCTGCAGGAATAACATTGGCTTTTTGTTGGTTTTCATGGGGGAAGGGGTAAAGGCCTGATTCAAAAGTTGTTTTGACTTGGACTTCTACCAGTGGCATCTACTACTACTAAAACTTGCTTATGGGATGCATCTCTTTAATGTTAATCAGTATGGGTTTTGTGTCCCATGTTTCTCAGATAGATGTTGCTTTGGAGAGAGAAAGGAGATCAGGCAGCCAGTATTGTTTCTCAGCAAAGTTATTTTCCATGGAATGATTTAGTAATGATTTTGAAAAAAAAAATTAAATAAAAATCTCTGGAGGAATAAAAACGTTAGAGGGTGATTAAGGAAGTACAGTAAGGATAAAGGGAAGGTGTCATTGGCTGACAAACTGTAAAAAATAACAAATAAGAAAAAATGGTGTTTTGCAAATTATCTGTCTGATTATCCATTGGATAATTAGAAGATCTGAAAAATAGGGAACTATTATACTTGTCAAAGACTTTTATTGTTTGAATGGAAGTTAATTTGAAAAGCGTCATATGGTATTGAGAGCCAGCTTCTCTGAATTCAGAAGTCTAGGATTAACTTGTCATTGATGTGATGAAGAAATGAGAAATTAAGGTTGCAGGTCTTGAAAAGAATCAGAATCCTCCATTCCAAAAGATGGATTTTACTCAAATTATGAAGTTAATGTATCTATTGATTTGAGCTATGAAGAGCAGACCTTCAAAAATCTAATGCATTGGTATTTGTTAACCCCTTTTAAGATGCAGCCCAATCCTGTTGCCTTTATTTATGTAAGAAATTACTGATCCAGTAAAGTACATATGCATGTGTACAACTTTAAGGACATGAGGGGTCCTTTTTGCCCACAACTCAAGTTAGGCATATTGCCCCCATGCAGAGGGCATGTATAAGGTATATACATCCCATTTGGAACTTGTATGGGCTGGCTGCACAAGTGTCAGATTTATCCATGGTCAGTACCACTGATTTGAACTAAAATATTTGCATGAACAGGAGAACAGAATTTAGCCCCTGAATCATCAACTAACATGGGGCAAAGGAGGAAAAAATATCATGTTTTCTGAATGGGAATTAAATGAGGAAAATAAAAAGAGTGGAAAAATCATTTGCATTTTTTATGATCTATTGTAAGTAGACTGAAAATTTTAAATAATAAACCATGGTGGTTAACAGCACATTCAGTACTCAGATTTATATTCTTTTACTAATTGGGGAAAACACCTTCATTTTTCTGAATAGAAAATGGGCTGAGCTCAAAAAGCATTCTAAAATCAAATGGTGTCAGGCTGAATTCAGTTTGCTTTTTCTGAAAAGAAAACTCTTGCTTTTTTTGTTTTCAAAGGGGACATTGGATTACAAAGAATAGGTCCAATATTTATGCTATTAAGATGGAAATTAGTTTTCTTGAAGTGCAATATTTATTTTTCTGCTTTAACAAGACACGTTTATTGTTTCTCATGCACAGCACGGATGTTTTTAGTAGAAAGAATTGAAAAGGGGCACTATTTTTTGTATCATATTATTTAAATTTGTAACATTGTAAGATGCTGCACAAGTGTGCTAGTATTGTACTGTATAGTATCACATACTTGAGATTTGAAATAAAGGTCCAGTTTCAAAGTCCTTTCCATTGCTAGCCCAAGACTTATTTTTAACATGCACACACATCTGCAGTTATATTTAAGAGGCTGAATTCTGTTCAGGTACTAGTCCTTGGTAGGAACCGCAACAATAATTCAAACATGAGCCAATAATTAAGGTTTCCATTGGCACTTAGGGTTTGTTTACATGAAGTCTTCAGGCATATGTAGTACAGAATAGCTATTGCTGAATAGTAGTAGCGAACTAACTATTCAGGTGGCTACTCTCATCATGCAATAAGATTGCCTTTGGGGAGGTTCAGTTAATCCACCTGGGAAGATCCATATCTGAAAGCTGTAGTTCAGGGCTATCTTTAGTTGGAAACAATATATATTGTTTATATACATTTTGGAAACAAATATCACATCCTTGTTTTCCTCTCTGCATTAACTTTATAGTATCTTTATAGCATCCTGCAAAAGCACCATACAAAGTTATGACATGGTGTTAAGTATGAAATATATGATTATTTATGGTACAAATAAGGCATACTCCTTTTGCAATTCAGAGAAACAGAATATATACTGTACACAATGGGCATGTCTACAGGTGCAAGTAATGCAAAACAATAATGCATGCTCATTGCTCCAGATTTTATTGTTCCCAGGTGCACCTTTTGAATGCATGCCCGAGACTGCAGTACATTGAGCTGCTTCAGAGTAGGACTGACTAGCAGGGAGTCCTGGGGGTCATTCTGCCAGCCCAGGGCTGTTCCCCATGGCTCAACATGCTGAGGAGGGGCTGGTTGGGGCACAAGGGTGCTCCGGTGCAGGGATAGCCGGCAGGCAACCCCCTCACTGAAGTACCCTCATGCCCCAGGTAGCCAGGGCAACATGTACATGTGCGCTGCTGCCCATGAAAAAGCTCTGCTTCAGGATAGTGTTTATATTTACAAGTAGTATCTTGCTGCAGAGTTTATTAATTTACTTCAGCCCAAGTTCCTGCAGCTGGGAGCCCCCTCAGCTGACAGAGCTCCCAGCAGTGGGAGTGCACAGTGCTCCCACAGCTAGGATCCCCATCATTTGTGGACTCCCAGCCTCGGGGCACATGGTGCACCCCAGCAGCTGGGAACCCCATCAGCTGAAGGGATTCTGAGATTCAGGTGTGTACTTGGCCATACATTCAATTAATGGAATGATAGGAACCAGCCACAAAGTTTTTACGCTTTTTTTTGTAAAATAACTTTGTGGTTTATGCTTTGTTTTATGACACCATCGATTGCTTTAACATGTGGTTGGGTTACAACTTAAAAAGTGATTAACTGGGTCAGAGTCTATCAAATTAATATCAAACAAATTATCCTAATATAAATGCTATGGGAGAACTGCTCCTCCTAAAATTAATGGGAATTTTGTTGTTGACTTCATTGAGACTAGGATTTTCCTTTATGTATCTATAATCCAGGACATCTCTAAAATAAATTGGCCTGTGCCATTCAAGGGTTGACCCAGAGGGTACAGCTGCAACTCCTTTGATTCCTGGTCCACCCAAAGTTTAGAACCAATTGCCTGGCAGTGGTAGCAGCATTTCTATTCAGGTAGCAGTGAGGGACTTGATTGATTTCATGGCTCATTATAATCTACCTGATTCCTTCTAAAATCTTAATGACTCACTCTCCTTTTTAATGGTCTTGATGTTCTACTAATCAAGCTATTCTTTTCTCTGTATTGGAAATTGGTCTGATGTGGCCAATAATTTGGCCAATAAATGATCTGTGCATGTGTAGCCACAGCGCAGCACGTAGGCAGCAAGGAGCACAGCTTGGCAGTTTGGAGAGCTGCATGCAGCTGGTAAGTCTGGTGTAGTGGGAAGGGAAGGGGGAAAGGAAGGGAAGAGGGAAGGAAAGAGGTGTGGTGGGGGGGCACAAATCAAGGCCCCTACAGTGAGGAAGGAGCACGGCTGGGGCAAGCACTGCTGAGCTGGGATGGGGCAGGCATGGGACAGAGCCACAGTTCATCTGGGGGGGCACAGGAAGCGGGGGCGCTTCTACTGCTGCATGCAGTTGGTCCAGGAGCCACTGGTCTGGCAGCTCACCCAGTGCTTGCCCACTTGTCTGGTGGCTTCTGCTGCTACTCCCGTGGCTCATCCAGCAGGGCATGGGGTGGTGAGGGGCATGTGCTCCTGGATATGCACGGAGTGGGCTGGGGCCGTGCCATGCTCTTCCCGGCAGGGTGGGGCAGTCTATGGGGTGGGTGGTGGCAGCAGCACTGGGAGGGAGGTTGGGGGAACTACAATGAATTTGGGGATGGTTGCAGGCCCCCCCGCCATAGCCCTTCCCAGTACGCTGCTGCCTGCCCCGTGCACAGCCCTACCCCATGGGGAAGAGCTTGGCGCAGCCCCACCCCCACCCTGCCCCACACAGATCCAGGGCCACATGCCCCCCTCCCCATGCCCTCCCGGACAAGCCGTGGGAGCAGCAGCAGGAGCTGCCAGATGAGCAAGTGAGCACTAGGTGAGCTGCTGGACCAGTGGCTCCCAGATGAGTGGCGTGCAGCAGCGGGAGCTCCCCCCTCTTCTCGTGCCCCCCGGATGAGCCACAGCTCCGTCCCATGCCTGCCCTGCCCCAGCTGGGCAGTGCTTGCCCCAGGCCCAGCCGTAGTCCCACTTTTCTCTCTCACCACAGGGACCACCATGCCCCTCCGCTCCCCACTCCCCTTCTACCACACCAGACTTACCACCTGCATGCAGCTCTCCAAGCTGCAGGGCTGTGCTCCTTGCTGCCTACATGCTGCACTGTGGCTGTGCACATGCACAGGCCATTTATCAGCCAAATTATCAGCCACATCAGACCAATTTCTGATATAGAAAATTTTCTTTATATAGATGCTGATCTGATATCAGACCTATGTATCAGTGCATCTCTAGTTGTAAGAGATGATGCACCACAGTTTCTGCACTGCCCCTTTCAAAGTCTTAGATCCGCCCATGGTGCTATATGACTCCAAACATTATTTAGTCCAATTCTCACTCTACACCATGACTAAAATGTCTCAACACAGGAAAAATATACAAGACAATCCCCAAGTCAAGGCCACTGATGCTTGGACTATTGCTCCATTGCCAATTCAATAAGGCCTCCTTTAGCCTTCAGCTGTACATTAGATAACTACCAACATACAACAGAATTTACCACACTATTAGTAATAAACAGCTGTGACAGGGAGCCAGAAACCCCTGTCACTTTAAGTAAAAGTGTAGTAAGCCAAGTCTGCTATATGTGTAGCTGGGGAGCCACATGACCAAAAGGAGTGGGGCATAGAAGCATATAAGCCCCAGGCCTGAGACAAGGCAGGCAGTCTGGCCTTGCATGCTGCAGGGAGCAAAGCTCCATGGAGAGAGGGGTGAAAGAGCAAGCCTGACAAGCACCCAAGTGAGCTGGGATAACCTCATAAAGGAACTTTAAAATAACACTTGCCCACTCTAAGAATATTTTTACCAAAGTGAAGAACTGTCCCTTGTGGTACCATTCCTATCCATATAACTGCACTCTACTTTTCCCTTCCCCTCCCCAACTTTTCCCTTCCCCTCCCCACTCTGTCAGTCTACTATTTCTGTTTTAGGAAGTGATCCTAAAACAAACACTTGGGTCATCACATCAACTGATATGAAAGACCACTTCCTCTCAGCTACTGATGACCTATTTTTTTATGATCTTTCTTGTCCTCATTTTAGTTTTACAGATCTTCAGCAGACTGGGATTCCAGGTGTCTAAGAAGCATGCAGGAGTGTTCTTCGGGCTTGGCTGTATCCATGTCAGGCTCATGTTTCAGTGGGAAAAGAGTTTTTAAGCTTGTTTGTAACACAACTTAAATGCTTTTCAGCTTTCCTGCAAAACTGGGTATGTTGAATCCTTTAAGGTCAGGCACAGATCTGGCATTGCCCTTGTTGCCATTTTCAGACTAGGACAAGTGGTCTTCTAGGGGGTTTAGTTCCCAAGATCAATGGCAGTTCTATGCCTTGTATTAACACATTCACAGAAAGCAGGTGTGGCTATACGGCATTCTCTTTTCCCTTGAAGGAAGACTAGGGAAAACACAGACCTCCTGTGGGACTCTTGAAAGAACTAGGAATGAGTCAGAATCTTCAGGGCCCTGATAAAGAATATGGCAGATGTACATCCTGGAAAGGTGGTGTTTGTGGCAGGGCAAGAAAAGAAGCTTTGCAGGGAAGAGACAAGACAAGATGAGGTATGACCTTGATTTCTGCTTTATTGCCAAAGCTGATGCTTGTTGACTTGGAACAGCATAACTCCGCTTTTACTCCAAGGAGCAACAGGTGGATTGCTGTTATATTCCTAGACAAGAAGACTGCTCTCTCCTTGAGACAGACTTAAATTCGTGACTAACAGAGAGAGACTGGGTGAGAGCTAAAAGCGAGAGATGTGCCCCACAGAGATGGAGTGAAAGCTTTGCACTGTTTACTTATTTGTACTTCTTGTTATCAAAGAAGGCCTGAAAGTTTTGACTGAAATGAAGGGCTGGATCTAGATAGAAAAAGGCTGCCTTTCCACAGGGAGCAGGTAAATCAGTACATTGTTTTTGGCAGTGTTAAGAAGGAGCACCTGGAACCCCATGCTCCCCTTCAGGTGGTGTTGACACTAGGATGTAAGAGTGTTGGTTGTGTTGAAAATCTCTTTTGTGGGAATCCATTGTGAATACCTCAGAATCTGTTTGCAAATCTTTGACACTGTCTCTC